CTACCTGTTTCCTTAAGCTCTTTAGTCCTATATGGACAGAACGAAACAATAACATGCTCCCATCTGATGCCCTTACCAGTGAGTCTCCCAGATCAAGTGTCTTCGGTTCTGTGTGCCTCAGAGAAGCCAGAACCCACTGGGAGCCTGAAGACTGACTACCTCTCCTGACTTCCCTAAGTTCATGACCAGGGCTGGTCCCATGGAAGCCAGGATCTGGTGGTGGCTTTGAAAGTCATCCTGTCCTCCCTGTTCTTAGACAAATTTTTCAGGGATTCCAGGGTCAAACATGCAAACATAAGCATCTACCAACAATATCTGTTTAAGATGTTCATTGGCTGCTCTTTAGCAAAACCTGTGGGGAAGGAGAGGTCCTTCAGGAGACAGGATACAAGTTACAGTTTGTATTTAAAAACTGTTCCATTAATAAAACAGTCTCTTCGTGTTGTCCCATTTGGACCACACAGCAGAATTCTATGGACAAGACAATGGGAACAGATGAGGATGCCAAGTCTGCAGGCGGTCGGGCCATTTACAGAAGGTCACACAGTTCACCAGCAGCAGAGCCAGGGCTTGGCTACCGTCTCTCCAGGGCTCCTTCTTGATCATCTTACTTCCCCTTGCAGCCTAAAAGCCAAGAATCTAAGAGTGGTACTAGGGGACCAAGATTTGAAGAAGACAGAATTCCACGAGCAGACCTTCAGGGTGGAGAAGATATTCAAATACAGCCACTATTATGAACGAGATGAAATTCCCCACAACGATATTGGCAAGTCTCTTCTAGCGAGGATCTCCTGCGGGTCTTGTCCCGGGTGGATTTCTCTACTGATGGAAAGCTGAGGGTTGGTTCTGTTTGGCCCCTCATAGACATTATGAGGTAGAAAATTTATTCCATCACTTGCTAGTTCTTAAAGGTTACTGTTGTGGGTAAACATGCACAAGCTCTTAAGGGGAAGAGATGTTGTGTTCTGTGAAAGAGCTCAACCTTGAATCCCACCCCTCCCACTTGATAGCTAGCTTCACCTCTCTTCGCCTCAGTTTGCATGGCAACTCTCAGCTTCCTGTGTGTTAATTGTCATTGTGTGCATGTGTCCCCATGTACACCTCACACCTGGTAGGCAATTATAGACTTAAGCTGCTTACTACTCAGTTTTGCATTCACAGTATCTCTCATTCTCTTTCATCAATATCTTTTTTTCCTTTATAAAGCCTTTTTTTTTTTTAAATTAGTTAGTAGTTAAAAGAATGAAATGATGGAAGAATTAGTGGGGCTTTGCTATAAGGACCTTCTGATCAAGCTGGAGCAGATGCTTCTTTGATAAAGAGGATAGCATCACCCATTTCTGCTTTCTCTATCTACCTAGCTTTGCTCAAGCTAAAGCCAGTGGATGGTCACTGTGCTTTGGAATCCAAATATGTGAAGACTGTATGTTTGCCTGATGGTCCCTTTCCCTCTGGGACCGAGTGCTACATCTCTGGCTGGGGTGTTACAGAAACAGGTGAGTCTGGTCACGCAGTCTCCTGAGACACAGGTGAGTTATTTTAACCAGAGAACAAAGGGTCAAACTCAACTGCCCTTCTGAACTTGAAACCAGTGTTATATTCAAAATGTATTATCAAAAGAAAGATTGCATCATCTCTCAAGCTTTAGTTTAAGTCTCATCACCCCCGAGGACTGTCCCCAGATCTCACATCTGCCCCTGGCTCCTGCCCCTGGACCCCTGACTTCCATCAAGCATTGACTCTGTATTGACTACTTCCCAAAGTAGACTGGAAAGAGGATAAATTGGAAAGATGAATTGTGGAGTCAGATTCTTGGCTTGTCACTTGGGCAGCTGACTTTTAGTTTCCCAATAACCATATTTACCTCCTATTTAGTTTCCCAATAACCATGTTTACAATCATGATGACAGGTGATAGAATTCTACAGAAATACTGATTAAGTGAGCCCAGGAGGGTGGGGTCAGGTCTCATTCATCTCCCACAGTGTGCTGATCTTAGTAGGCGTTCTACAAAGTTTTGTTAAATCAAACTTTTGATTTGGCTCCTGGGTTTGGTCTCATCTAAGAAAGCAACCACAGTGTTACTTTGCTCATAGTACTGACATGATATCTTCTAATATATGAGGCTTTCTCTAATATTCACGATGGATTTCTTCCCCATACATCATGTCCTTAATAATGAAGAGCAGGATAACTCTAAGTAGGCCTATATTCATAAAGAAAGTGGCATGTAATATATGAAATGGCAGAAGGATTTGGGGAAAGACACCTGGTTCATTGGATTTAGGATAACCCTATTTGTAGCTGTCATTGTAGTCCAGATAAACTTTTCCCTGTCAGCATGCTAACTAGAGCATTCTTGGGCAGAACAGAGGTTTAGGGCAGGAAATGTCTGCTCTGGGAAGCAAGTGAGTAGATGACAAACCAGGGAAATGCATCCATCAATAAGCATTTTCTACTGTCAATCCTCTGCTAGTCATGGGAAATTAAAAAATGGTTAAGACATTTCTCCCAGTCCTCCTGACCGCATGGTCTAGCTGGGCACAGAGGAGAGAATAAATGATTCTTCTCCATTGTGATAAGCAGAGCACTGAAGGTCCAGAAAGCCCTGGTGACAGCTATAGGCAGAGCCCATCTCCTGGAGAGATGCTTCCTTCCCAAGCTTAGAGCTGGTGGCCCTCTTACTCCTGCTGGCTTCTGGTAGGGTGGGTGCCACCCTGGTCCCCACAGTGGTCACTTCTTCTTTCTGCCCCACAGGGGAAGGGTCCCGACAGCTCCTGGACGCCAAAGTCAAGCTGATCGCCAACACTCTGTGCAACTCCCGCCAACTCTACAACCACACCATCGACGAGACCATGATCTGTGCGGGAAACCTGCAGAGGCCTGGGCAAGACACCTGCCAGGTCAGAGACTCCAAATGTACTTGGAGAGCAAGAAGTTGGCAGGACCTTACATAGACACAGACCCCCTTAGAGCCCTGGGCTGGAAGACAGGCTCAGGGACCCACCTGCCATAAAGGACAGGCCTGGGCTGGTATATCTGAACCCCTATCAATCCAGAAAGACAGCGCAATAACCATAGTGGTCACACTGCCTACATTGCTGCACTTCATTCCTGTGAGACATTGGTCAAGGGGATGTCACTAGCGTTATTTGACAGAAGCTTAGAAATTTATTTCTCACTATTCTGAAGGCTGGAAGTCTGAGACCAGGGTACCAGCGTGATCGGGATCCAAGGAAAACCCTCTCGAGGGTTGTAGTCTGCCAACTCCTCATTGTGTCCTCACATGGTGAAGAAAGAGCTAGTTCTCTAAGGCCCCTTTAACTTGGGCAAGAATCCCATGCATGAGAGCTCCACCCTCATCACCTAATCCCCTCCCAAAGGCCATATAAATACCAGCACTTTGGAGGTTAGGTTTCAATATATGAATTCAATCCATTGTACCAAAATTATTCTAGAAGTTAAGATGCCTCATCTGAGATGAAAATGTTGTCCCCATAAGATCTGAGGCAGATGAAGAGAGATAACATTGAAAACCCTGTCTACACAGTTGTAGAGTGTAAGCAGTGCTGTGTGGTTCAGAGCCATCTTCCTCCTCCTCACCACTTTCATTGTGGGGTTGGGGTTTGATATAAACCAGGCATTGTTCTATGAGCTTTACAAGCATTAATCCTCACAAAAATCCTGGGGGTGGAGGGAGTGTTCTGTTGCTAACCACCGTTCGCAGTATGAGACCTGAAAGCCCAGCTGGCTAGCAGAGTAGGGCCTGATTAGGAACCGGGAAGATCTAGCCCCTTAAACCATGCTGGATGTCTTAGCCATGTGCCTCTGAGCCCCACCCTCTCACCCTGCATATGCCCTGTGGGTCCTGGAAGGGTTCTATCCTAACAGCACCCCCCCACCCCAATCCCTACACCAGGACCTGCTGGAATGAGGAGTTGAGGGCCCCTGAGAACTCACAGTAGTAATGCCTGTGTTACTGAAAGTCATGATCGTATCTGGATGTGAGGCTGTGACCACAGCGCTGTGGCCTGGCCCTGTGCCCCTCTGCCAGGCCCTCCCTGACTCAGGGGCATGGGTTGGTATTTGCTTCAGATCCTTGGGTCTCATGAGGCCTAGGAAGAGTCTTGTCACTGCTTTCCCGAGGGCCCACACCATCCCCTGCTGCCATCCCCTCCTGGGAGGTGGGGTGTCTCCTAATGCATTCTGTTCACAGAGCTGAACTCACCCCTTTCCCACTCAGGGTGACTCTGGAGGCCCTCTGACCTGTGAGCAGGATGGGACCTACTATGTCTACGGGATAGTGAGCTGGGGTGAGGAATGTGGGAAGAAGCCAGGGGTCTACACCCAAGTTACCAAGTTCCTGAATTGGATCAAAGCCACCATCCAAAGGGAGCCCGGCTTCTAAGGTGTCTTCCGGACCTCAGAGCCCCTCCTCCTGAGCACCCAGACCAGGTGAGGCCTCATGGCGGCCATGGACACTCCTGGGAGCCTTCAGGGTGCACATGGTGAAGTGTCCGTGTTCTAAGCAGAGATAACAACTTCCCGGACTGGGGCATCCTGGATCAACATCTCCACCATCATCAGGCTCCCTCCTGGGTTTGCCAGGAAATGACAGAATCAGCCCTAAATATATTGTGCTTGCTTTCCTTCACACCATGGCACCTTCTAGAAAATCACTGTTCACTGACTGCCTCCACCATGGACATTGGCAAATGTGGGATCTCAGGATGCTCTACATCGGTGGATGTTCCCTTGGCAATCTTATGCCTCATCCGAGACACTCAAGGTGCCCAGCAGAATGAACCATCCACTCTAGGTAGCAGCTAGAGGACCACAAAATACCACATTCTCCATCTGCTTTCACAGACTTGTGACTTTAATAAAGCCAGGGCATGGCTGGTGTGCTATTCATCCAAGCTGAAGCCACCTAGGTCTGTCGCTGGCATGCAAGCTTCCTCTCCAGCGTCTCTCCGGAGAGTCCTAGGTGGACCCACTTGCTCACAACGGCAGCACCTTCCTCCTGTTGACGTGCAGAATCTCCATGGCATCTGGGTTCACATCCCCTCTCTGATTATATCCGGGCTCCACAGGCTCTGGCCCCCACTGCAGAAATGAAACACACCTCCCTGAGTCCAAAAGAAGCTTCCAGCTGGCTCCCTTAGGAGGAGCTGTCTAAGATGCCCCAGGAGCATTGAACACGTCCACCCTCTCTTTCTTTTCACCTCCACCACCCTCCGTCCAGAGAAAAGATCCTCAAGGCAAGAATGAGGAAGAAGCAAAGCCAATCTCTCATTTAGATGCACTGTCTTTCTTCTGAACAAAGGAAGTTCAAAACCCAGACTATTGTAGCCAGCAAGTCCCTGACCCTTGTGAGAATGTAATCAGCATTCATTGAGCAAGGAGGCAGCCCAGCCTGAGCTGCAGGGGCCCAGCGCTGATGCCGCCCCAGCAGGTTCATCTCCACAGAACTGCGACTTCAGAGAAAACCCTGCAGGAGATTCAACCCAGGTGTCATCCGCCTGGCCTCCTCAGACCCATGGAATTAGGCCCCTTGCTAGAGCTGCATCTCACACTTTTTATAGCAAAGTCTGAACAAGGAAAGGTGAGCTTGTCTTTCCCCGTGGCCTCGCAAGCTGGGCAGGTTTGCGCCTTGCTACTTACGTAAGCCCCCTGGAGAGCCATGCCCCTTGCATTGGCCAGTTCTGCAGCCCGCCGAGCCATCTCCACTTTGTAGGAGCCGGGAGGGGTCCAGCCAATACCTCTGGTCAGGTTCAAGTCTGATTTGTACTTGACCTTGGGGGGGAAAGGGAAGTAAGAGGAATGTGTCAGCAGGTTTGGGGATGGTTTGGGCACAGGGTGGAAAGGCTTAAAGGTGAGCATGAGATGGAAAATGTGTTGTCAGTAAAGCAAGGAGAGCAAACTTATCTAAAGCAGGAGCTCCCTGACCCATCCTGCTGTGAGCCTGACCAGCTTGTCACTGTCCCTTGCTTCTTTCTCGGGGCCGTGTGGATATGTATAACATCATTTGTGGGCCATACAAAGTTATCAGCTTAAAGATGAGCCAGGTCTATTTGGTCAAACATTTAATCACTCACCCCTAATGCCTTGGCAGGGCCAGACCAAATGATTTCCCGGGCCTTTATATGGCCTATGGGCCAGATGTTCCCCACCTGTTTCAAGTGATGGGAGCACAATGGGGATGGTGGGTGGGAAGACGTGGTTCAAGTCCAAACTCCTACCTTAGACAAGTCACTTTCCTTCTCTGGGCCTCAGTTTCCTCCCAGAGAGAAAAGGGCAAGGGCCGGGTTGGGTAACTACTGAGATCCCCTGGAAACAGTTTGGCATTGCAATCAAGAGCGTGGGCTCTCCTGTCAAGCCAAAGGGGCTCATGCCCCAGGTCTGCCACTTGTTTTCCACGGGATCTTGAATAAGTTACTTAACTTCTCGAATCCTCAGTTCCCTCCTCTATAAAATGGGGCAATAATGGAGTTACCGGATACAACGCCTGGAAATAATTTGGCACCGCAGCCTGGCCCACAGTAAGGACTGGATAAGGAGCAGTTACTGTTCTTATTTCTTCGGGAACTAATGTATCAGGCGTCCCAGGTTCTATCTCAGCCTGAATGTGGGGTTAGGGCCACCTTTTGGAAGGGCCTCGGCCAGGCGGGTGGGGCAGCTCACATCACTCTGCAGCTGGTGGGCCCTCTGGGCATGCTTCAGGCCCAGCTGCTCCGGGTCGCAGGTGGGCTGGGGCAAGGGCTGCCTGTAGCACACGTCGCTGGCCAGCTGCTGGCTCCTCTTGGCCTGGAGGAAGCCGGGCTGGTCTGGGCGGCTGTGGAACCGGGACCGATTCTTTGCAAAGTCCTTCTTGTACTCATTGTCACTCTGGAGCTTGCCGACGCTGAGGAAATGCCTCATCCTCGGGTCGTCGTTGATGCTGCGGTATCCGATCTGCAGGCCCCGGTCCCGCAGGAAGGCCTCTTTGTATCGAAACTGCAGGTCAGAGGAGCAGAGATGGAACATTGGTACCCACCTCTCCCCACGGATTCTCAGCAGGAATTCTACGGTGGGTTAAGGGCACAGCTTTGGATTCAAGTAGACTTACCATCTGGATGGCCCTCTGCTACCTTCTAGCTGTGTGGCCTTGGGCCAGTTACTAAGTCTTTCTGAGCTTCAGTTTCCCCATCTGATAAAAATGGGAGAATGGCCCTAGCTGGTTTGACTCAGTGGATAGGGCATGGCCTGGGGAGTAAGGGGTCCCAGATTTGAGTCCAGCAGAGAGCACATGCGGGGCTTGTGGGCTCAATCCCCAGTAGGGGACATGCCAGAGGCAGCCAATCAATGACTCTCTCTCATTATTGATGTTTCTACCTCTCTCTCCCTCTCCTTTCCTCTCTGAATTCAATAAAAATATTTAACAAAAAAAAAAAAAAATGGGAGAATGAACTTCTACCCTATGGGAGATGGAGAAGATTCCATGACACGGAGGGTTAGCTTCATGTCTAACACTGAGTGGTGACTATGAGAATTATTGCTGCTGTAATTCATAATCCAATGAAAGAGAAATGTGCCCATTCTCTCAGCAGCCACTCTTCCTCTGATGCTTTCCATCTTTCAGGGACCCAGGCCAGTGCTCCTCAAACTCTCTATATAAAGGACCACATTCATTTCAATTTGCTTTTTCAATATGCAATTCATCAAATATGTGGTCCTACTGCATGTGATTAGTGCATAGTGCTACCACTTGCATTTAAAAACACCCCAACTGGCCTCCCTGCTGTTCAACAAAATGAGTCCACAGGTCACATGCCTGGATATCATGTGTCTAATTGTTAAACATCTTTCTAAATGCTTGCTCTTGGTTTCTGTATGTATCTCATTGTGGACCAGTGCCAAGCCGTCCATAGATGATGCATATCTTCCACCATAACAGCTACCATGGTTAGACACACGCTATGACCATGACACTCTAAACCATTCTGTTTTCATTCCTACATCCATCCTAGTAGATAAGCGTTAAATCCCTATTTCATAAATGTAGAAATTTGAGTTCAGAGAATGTAAGCAACTTGCCCAAGACCTTCAAGCCAATTCCTAAATGATCTTAACTCAAGTCAATGAAGGGGGAAAACCAATCTCTTCCAACCCCAACACACTGCACTTCAGCTGAAAGAAGTCCCTTCACTGCAGCTCAACAAATCAATCACGTGTTAATGGACTTCTCAAAAGTAAAGCCTATTTCTCCCTCTCATGTAAAATACTTGTTCAGTTTGGGTTCCTGGTGGTTTGCCTGTCAACAGGACTGGGGAAGTCAGAGTAAGACCTATGGGTCACAGAGGGCGAGCGAGAACACAAGGCCTTACATCACTGGCGATCTCCCTGGACGCTCGGGCAGTCTGGAATGGGATGGCGTCCAGCCTGAAGTCGTAGCCGCCAGCCCGAGTCTGCTCCCAAGAGTTTCTGTAGACTTTCTAGACAAGGAGAACAAGGAAAGGAGTGAGCAGGGGGTACTTCCTGTCTGCCATGTGGTTGGTTCTCAGCAGGGCAGTTTCTAAGCACAAACCATTGCCTGGATGGTGCCCAGAATGGCAGAGCCCATGGCCCCAAGTCCATCCGGGACCTCCTCTGCTCTGGGATCTCTGGGACTGACCACCGAGGGCTCCAGTTCTTAGCACAACCTGAGCGCCAGGAGCTGCTCTTGCAGGTCTTGGGGTCTGTGGGTCTGGCCCACTGGCCACACTCCGTTGGTAACAGAGGCCCCCACCCCTCCCTCCCATGTTTGTATTCACATTCAAGGACCAGGCTTGTAGCTTCTAGATGCCATAACTCAAAGCTCAAGAGCTCTGCTTCCTCCAATAGCAGGAGATGCTGCTCCTCGGGTCCTGGTTCCCGTGTTCATTAGCTCCACTGACTTCCCAGGGGCCCTCTGCTACTTCTGATGTCAAGTCACCCCATAACGCTGCTTCCCATATGCTCCCTTAGTGGCTGCACTGAGCGAGGGAAGAGCCTTCACCTGAATTAAATTGATTGTCGAGAGCCTGACCGAGTCCCTGACCTATGGATTTCACATCTTCCTCTTTCATTTTCCTCCTTTTCAAGTCGTCCTCTCCCCCCCCTCCCCCCAGGAGCCTGGGAGCCCGGGTAGACCTGCATCATGGACAGAGGCATCAAAATCGCCCGTGCCTTCGTGTAGAGGATCTATAAGGCAACAGCTCCGTGAGAGGAGTCACCTGGAGGTGCCCGTGGAGGACCTGTCCTTTATTCTCCCACAGGGAAGGGAGACAGCGGGAGAGGCTCATCACCAGCATTTGACAAAGTGACAGCCTCAGAGCGGGCCGGTGGCTCGCTCGTTCTGTGAACCACAGCAGGTCAGGGCGCTCCTAAGAACCTCACTTTTGTCACTTGGAAACAGAGCTCAAGGCCGGGGCTCTGTTCTGTAGGGGACTAGAGGGGGGTTGGGGAGGGACGGACCAAGCAAAGGAGCAGTGGCAGACAAAAAGATAAAAACCTCACCCACTCTACAACTAGGCATGGACTGCAAAGGGCCTGGGCCAAGCCTGGTGAGTCTTATCATTCCCATGTCCTGCTGCCCACCTTCTCCTGCATCTTAGCCTCCAGCCCCAACATCTACGGACACAAACCAGGAGCCAGGAGCCTGCTATGATCAAGGGTCTTGAAACACAGCACCGATCATTCCTGGGGTCATCACCTAATTGGTGGACCTCAAACAGGGCCCACAGGACTGGATTTACTGGGTCACTGTTGAGTTTAGCAGGCAGGATGGGGAGCCATAGAGAAGGAGTCACCCATATCCCAGCAAATTGAGTCAAACCCTGATCATTTCCCGGAACAAGTCAGGGAACAAGTCAGGGTCTTCCTAATTCAAGAGCCTGGCCCACACCAGACCTGGGCTAGGTATCACAACGTCACCCCAGTCTGGTGTCCAGTGCACCCCAGCTTCTGGGTCTCTGTAACGGAGGGTCAATGAGAGCACCTGACCCAGATCGGGGCTCTCCTCAAGGCCCCGGCCCCCTTCCTCCCGGTCACTGCTCCCTGGATGCTATGTGCCTGATGGTCATCACTTCCTCCCCGCGTTTTTTGATTCTGTTGAGGTTTTTGCCTTGCCACTGGGAGTCTTTAGATTCCGCAGCCCCTTTGATTTGGAACCCTGGGCATTCCTCTTCTTTCTCGCAGTGGGCACAGTTTTGTCCTCGTCCTCACACATTACAGCCATTTGATTCTTAGTTATTTCGGCTGCCTGACACATCTCGACGGCTTTCTTTGCCCAGGAAGGTCACCTTCCCTCCACATCCTCCGCACACGGCACTTGATCCAATTGTGTGTGTTCCACACGCCCCGAAGGAGTGCTCTTTCAAAAGAGGTCCGAGAGTTCTCCACATCCCCATGCCCCGGTGGCTAATTTCAGCTCCGGGGACTCTTCACACAGGCATCCCCCGTGAGAAGAAAGAGGCATCCGCCACCAGCACCGGTGGCTGTCCTCCTTCAGCTGGGCCCCTCATGGACCAGCAGGCCGATCCCCATCTCCAGGGCTGTGTGGGCTCCAGCGGTCCCTCGCATGGAGGCCCGGCCTCCCCCGATCCTCCAAGCGTTAATGAGGCGGATGTTTTGTTCCAGCTCCGCCGAGGGGGAAGTCCCGCTTCCCTAGATGGAGGTCAGCCCACCAGAGCTGCCGTTCTAAAATTATCCTGCGTGCATCCCTCCAAAGCCTCAGATGGCCATAATGACTCCTATTTACAAAGCGCCACCGCATTCACCGCGTGGGATCCCACAGGGCTTTACAAATGCAACAAACTCCGGTACACGCTAACTAGAAGGCGCCTCTCGCCAACCCCTGCGAGGCGGCCACCTCCGGGGCGACAGGGAGCAGCTGTTCTTCTGCACGGAGCCCCAAGACACAATGGCCAGGCCAGGGAGGGGAGAATGGCCGGCACCGGGAGGCCCGGCGCAGCCCCAGGCCGACACACTCAGCCCGTGTTATTCTGATCTGACGGAGTCTTTTGATTCTGCCGCCTCGCTCCCTGTTATCCCAGGATCACAGCGTCGCTGGCCGAGCAGCCGCCTATTCTATTACCACCGGGGGCCTCCAGCCCCCCGCCAACAACAAGCCTGGGTTTAGGAAACAGCATCTGGGTTATGCACGCAAAGGGCACGCATCCAAGGGAAACCGAAGTGCGGAGGCCACAGCCCCACGCACAAAGGAACAAATTGCATTGGGGCCTGATGGGCCACAATGACAGCAGCTTTCCAAACGGCAGGCTGAGAAAGTGCCGCCCTCTGCATGGCTACGGAGGGGTGTCCAGGAAACAGAGAGCGCAGGTGTCCATGCCTGAATGGGCCCCGTCAGGCATGGACACCTGCTCACACTGAGGACTTTGCAGGCATGTCCAGAATCAGTGTGTGAGAGCTGGGAAGAACTACGGGCATCATTAGCTCAGCTCCATCCCCATTTCACAGCGGAGGAAACTGAGGCCCAGCGGGGAAAGTGACTTAAAGTCCCACTCTCAGTGTAGTGTTCCTTTTCTCCTAAGCCTTCCTCTCTAGGCCTTCTGTTTCTAACAAATAAAAGCCACTTTGGATAATTTGACAGAAACAGCCAACCCCCTCACTCGGCCCCCATGAGTGGCTGGCTCACTCACATCGCTCAGGTGCAGCGCGTTGAGACGGGCTCTGATGAAGTCAGGGTGGTCGGGGATCAGGGTGAATCTGTGCAGGGATTCCGCATCCCCGGACCTGTACAGGCGCTGCAGGGAAGACAGGTTCACGGTCAATGTAGAACGCCACCTGCTGAACGCACAGGTGAGGAGCAGGCTGCTCTGCTCCTGTCCCTCCAGCTCGAATGCCCATCGCAGGGACACAGCCCGGCCTGCAGGACAGCATCCCTCAGAAGCCACCCAGGGAGGGAGGGCCCACGTGGTCAGGGCCCGGTGGGGTGGCTGTTTAAAATATTCCTTGAAATTTGCTCCACATGGGCCACTCTGCCAGCATCCTATGGGCCATACTGTGTGTTTTACAAGCAGTGTAAAGGGGATGGATACTTCGGAGAATTTTTGCAGCTAAACAGTGTTCAAGCTTTTTTTTTTTTTTTTTTTTTTTTAAATATATTCTAATGATTTTTCACAGAGAGGAAAGGAGAGGGATAGATAGTTAGAAACATCGATGAGAGAGAAACATCGACCAGCTGCCTCTGCACACCCCCCACTGGGGACGCGCCTGCAGCTAATGTACATGCCCTTGACCAGAATCGAACCTGGGACTTTTCAGTCTGCAGACCGACACTCTATCCACTGAACCAAACCGGTTTAGGCCGTGTTCAAGCTTTTTACTAATAATAAGATGCCTCAAGATGACACAGGACTAGTCTTTTCATCCTTGGATACTTTTATGTGTGTTCAGAAAAGTAAAGTTTTCATAGTTATCAGAGTCCCAGAAAGACACAGTTTTAAAACTCACTCTTTACCTTAGCTGCCATGTTTAGAGCAGCACGTTAGGACTTGCAAACAATTTTAAGAAGCACTGGAGTCCCATCTGTGTTTCGAGAGGAGAATTTAATACTTAATATGCCGATCCTTTCCCACATTCAATGCAGGCTTTGCCAACGTGAGCGGGGGAGCATTCAGATTCCGAGTGAGGCTGGCACAGCTTAGTCACTGTGGGTACAGAGCTGAAACCTCTGACATTTTCAGAGAAATAACACTTAGCTTCCCATTCTTTGAAATAAATACAGGAGAGAGGAAATGGGATGAACTCATACAGAAAGAAGCTTTCAATATAGCTACTCTTTCCTTTTCTACCTGGGTTGTGTGAAGCTGATAATTCCGTTACCATCTATCAATAATTAAGGTGTATCTGATCACCCTCGCTGGCTGGGTGGATCAACTGCTTGGAGAATCATCCCATATAACAAGAAGGTTGTGGCTTCGATCCCAGATTGGAGCACATACAAGAAGCAGCCTATCAATGTTTCTCTCTCACATTGATGCTTCTCTCTCTCTCTTCCTTCCTCTCTCTGAAAATCAATTTTAAAAAAAAGAATGTATCTGATTTAGTATCTGGTAAGGGAACATTAATAATTCTTAGTATTATTACTGTTGCGGTTATGAATCAAACGACAATAAGGGACATTTATTGAGGACTTAGTATGTTCCAGATGCTAAAAGCATGTGCTTTTTATTTCTTTAATCCTCATTTAACTCACTTCCTCTTATGAAATGGGTGCTGTCATTGCCTTCCTTTCTAATGAAGGGACCGAGGATGGAAGTGATGAAGTTACTGGCTCGAGACCATCCGGGTGGCAAGCAGAAGGTTTTCACAAACATCTATCCTACTGGGAGCCGGTGCTGATCAGCACTGACCACTGAGCTCACAATCCAGTGCTGTGAGCCTGGGAGGAGTGATGAGAAAACACCCACCTCATTGCAGTGTAGGTAGCTGTTCTTGGCATGAACCATGTCCGGGGAGTCGACCACCGAGGTGAACTTGAGACTGTCTGGTTTTTTCCTGTACTTGGTCTGTAAAATGAAGGCAAAGATACCCATGTAACAATTGGATGTCAGGCATTTTTCTGGATGCAGCTTCATCCCACCTCATCAGTCCCAACTATGCCGATGACAATAGTGGAAAACAAGTCTCTCTTCTTGGTGGGCATGCATCAAAGACACAGAAGAGACCCGAGCTGCCTCTGTGATAAGGAGCATTTTATAGGTATTCACACTCCTGGGAAAAAGATGGCTGCAAAATACCAGAGCTCATCCCAAGGAACTCAGCACAGGGCGGGATTTGGCATCAACGTGTCCCTGCGGGGACGCTATCCACACACGTTCTGTTATTAAAAAGCTGGAGAAGGCAGTGGCATCCTGGAGAGGATCTCGGGGCAAGAATCCCTTGCCATTAAAATAAACAGTGGGAGGTCAGTCAGGATGGTATGGCTCAATGGTTGAGCACTGACCCATGAACCAAGAAGTCACCGGTTTGATTCCTGGTCAGGACACATGCCTGGGTTTCGGGCTCAATCCCCAGTAGGGGGAGTGCAGGAGGCAGCCAATTGATGTTTCTTCTGTTTATCCCTCTCACTTCCACTCTCCCTCAAAAATCAATTAAAAATATATTTTTAAATGGTGAGAAATCAGTTAATGGAACTATCTCTGTGCATCTTTGAACACCTGCAACCAGAGACACCCTGGACACCCTGAGTAAACTGAGGAGGTGAGTGGCAAATTCTGCACCCCGCCCCATGAAAACAATGGGCCAGCTTAGATCCTATTGTTCATAATGTATCTACTGAGACCCTTCTAAGCATCTTCCTTCTTTCACCGCCCAATGTGAATGTGTCTTTAACTCCTTGGCAAAGAATTTACTTGGAGAGAAAGCTTGTTCCATTTGGTGATTTGACTGCAAATGGCCCGGGAAGAATACTGGCAGTTCAGTGGCCATGGGGCTCTCTTGGGACCCCCTTCCCCAAGTAGGTTCCCTCTTCAGAAGGAGATTGGGGCTAGGCTGCAGTCGCAGTAGTGACAGGTGGGTAGTACCTCACTGATGAGTTCTCCAGCCTTCTTTGCGTTCTCTATCTGCGGGGAGCTCAGCGCCAGCCATCCTGTGCCCTTCATGCCCATCAGGTCTGCCTTGTAGCGAAACTGCGGAGAGAACATTTCATCAGGGAGGTCTGAGCCCATGGGCGCATTGGTCATAACGCTCCATCACAGCATCATGATACCTCCATGCGGAGCGCATTCTGCATGATGTTAATTAAGCAAAGGTGTCTGAGTGTGTGCACTCTGCTGGGGATTAAACAGTGGATCGTGCGTAAGACACAACCAGAACCCGCCGGGGTCATGGCAGGACTGGAAGCGGAGGATGGAGACCTGTGGAGATGACCTCGTAAGGGAAGAGCTGAGACGTGCTCCAGCCCGAGCACCAGCCCCGGGATTTTGCTTCATTCTGGCAGCCACGTGACTGACCAACGGAAACATTTCCACTCTCCTGCTGATAAAAGTGCTCAACCTGATGTGACTTTGACCAAGTCACTTGACCAATAGATGACTCAGTTTCTCTCTCTGAGAAACTGGAGGTCATAGCAACCACTCTGTGCTCAAAATAAAAACAAAACCAAAACCAAATAAATTAAAAAAACACTGGAGAATATTCAAGGGCAAAAACTACTCTATTTGCTAGTAGGTGTTCTATTCCCTTGTTTTAGTAGGGGGAGTGGAGGGGACCTTGAGAGCAGAACTCTAAAAACCGACCCAAACCTAGATACAACCGGCTAACTATAGCTTTAGAGTTGTGTGCAAGCCACTTTAATCTTTCTGTGCCTCAGTTTACCCCCCCTCTCACCATTAGTCATGATGTGCTTATATTGCAAAAAATGGACTAAGCCTTTTCCATTTTTTCTAAGGGCTTAGAAGATTAAAACGACAGTATCGTTCCTGGGAGAAACTATGTGGTGCTTTAAGACAATGGGTCTGGTTAGGGATCTCCTAAACCCTTAAGCCTTATTACTATCCCTTGATCCGCCCACCATCACGGATGGCAAGACAACAACACACATGCTTCTCTTCTTCTCTTTATGGCTCTTAGGCGTTTTTAAAGATGGAAAAAGACCCTCGGAGGAAACCTAAAATTTGGATCTAAACAAAGTTGATAGCCTTCCTCTAATTTAGATACCGGCTCCGCTGCCACGCAACACATCGCTCCGGAGACCGGCCTCTCAGCCTTGTTAGCTCCCTTTCATTTCAGGGTTCACAGCGGCCCTCGCAACCGGCCTCAAAGAGGGGCCGCCTCTGATGTACTGTCTGCTGGCGAATGCCCCCATGCCAATTCCACTCTGCTTCCCGACTGATGCGGGAGACATCACTCGGGTCCAGGAGCAGGTTTCAAAACCCCGTGTCAACCAGATTGCTTTTTAGAGCGCGATCTTTCAGTCTACACCGGCAACGCTTGCTTGTGCCTTCCACTCTGATAAAGAACAGAGAAAATTGGACAAATTTCTAAGTTGGAGAGAATAATCCTACAGGGCCTCTTCACAGCCGGGTCTTGCTCCTTTTCAGAGGCGAGATGAAGTGGGGAGCGCTCTTTCAACTCGCCTTTTGTGGCGCTGCGCACTACAATCGCAGGTAAGTCAGAAAGCAAGATGTGGGCTCCCCGAAGATCTGACTGCGCCTCCGACTCGCTTCTAAAATGGACGGTCTATTAATATTTCAGCTCCCGGCCCAGCTTTGACTATTCACGCAGACCCTAAAAACAACACGCCTGCCTCAGATTTCACGATAAAAAAAAAAAAAAAAAATGTGTGGGTGGGTGGGTGGAGGGAAGTCAAAGACACGGCTACCCAGAGATGGCTTGGAAGAAGGGTTCTAAGATCATAAGAACCTTCTCAGGTGGCCTGGCTGAATCTGGCATCCCCACGTGGCAGCCTCACTGTTTTTCCTCGCGCACAGTAAGGCCGGAAGCCACCTGCAGATTCACACCCTGTGTTGTACATGCGCAAGCGAAGTATTTGGGTCCCTGGTTTCTTTTTTATTTATATTTTTATTGATTTCAGAGAAGAAGGGAGAGGGGGAGAAAGAGATAAGAGAGAATCATTGATCGGCTGCCTCCTGTGTGCCCCCTACTGGGGACGGAGCCTGCAACTTGGACATGTGCCCTGAACTGGAATCAAACTCTGACCTCCTGGTTCATAGGTCGACACTCAACCCCTGATTCATATGAACCAGGCTGGGTCCCTGATTTCTAACAGGAACATGTCAGCAGTGGCACCCAGGAGGTGGCCATGGGAAGGGTATATTTGTCATCTTAAGAATCATTATAATGACTGCCGTGCATATGGTGTACATTGCTTTAGTCTCCTCTCGTTCTATTCACACACCATCCTGCAAAGGAGGGTTCTTATTTCCAGCTACAGTTGATGTTCAAACGATTATTCAGAGCCTCAGAAGAGCCACCGGCTGCTGTCCTCTAGGCATGCCACACCTGGGGCCCTTGAGAGAACCCTCTGGAGCGAGAGCAGCTGGGTTTCCTAATCCGGCCACCTGGGGGAGCTGGAGAGCACTGAGCCAGCGTCAGGAGACAAGTGCCCCACTTTGCCTCTTACTGGCTACGTGATTTTGAGCAAGTTATTTCCCCACCAGTTTGTGACCTTGGGCAAGCTGCTCCACACTTAACCGGAGGGCGAACAGCACAACACTGTAGTTCCAGGAAATTGTAATAATAACTGGATCACCATCATCCATTCCATCATAATTAGTCGTCAATTACGTGTTTAGAATAATCTGCCTGTGCCATAACCAAACTAAGAATAGTCATTGCCTGACGGCGACCGGAATTGGGAAACCTGGTGTAGGGAATGCCATCAAAACAACTCATTTTTGCCCTAACTAAGTGGATAGTGTGTCTGCCTGTGGGCTGAAGGGTCCCAGGTTCGATTCTGGTCAAGGGCATGTACCTTGGTTGTGGGCACATCCCCAGTAGGGGGCGTGCAAGAGGCAGCTGAATCGATGTTTCTAACTCTCTGTCCCTTTCCCTTCCTCTCTGTAAGAAACCAATAAAATATATATTTAAAAAAAAAACACACAAAAAAACCAGCTCATTCCATGGATCAGGCACCATGCTGCGTGCCTTAGATGGACCCGTTCTAAACTGAGAACTGGCTTCTCTCCCCGGTGCAATGCTGTGCCCCCAGGTACATCTGGCAATATTTTAAGACATACTTGACTGTCACACTGGGGGAGGGTGGGTGCTACTGGAACTTAGTGAGTAGAAGCCTGGATACTGTCATGACAGCCCCCACGACAAGGAATTCTCCAGCCCCAAATGTCAAAGGTGCCAGAAGTGAGAAACCCCCATATGGATGAAGAGGGTGGAGGTGACAAGAGTCCCATGGGCTATGTTCTAAGCGCCTCCCTCCTGGGCCTAGAGAGCCAAGGCGCGCACAGCCCGTAGGTCTGACCACACATTACCATCATTGCCATGTCCCCGTCGAGGCCCTGAGGCTTGGAGGGGGGCTGGGACTGGAGCTGATCTGAGCGGGGCTGGTGCTACCTGCCAGCCTGCCTGGTGCCCTTGCCAGGGAGAGCACCTCCTCTTTCTGGGCCTCGGTGTCTGCTCTGAGCTGTAGGAACCATGATTCCCCAGCAGGGAGCTCCCTCCAGAGGGCAAGCTGGTACAAAGTGTGGGCTCCGGAGCCAGACCTGCCTCAACACTTCCCAGGTGACCTCATCTTAAAAACAGGAGGAAAAGCCTGGCTGGTGGGGCTCAGAGCCTGGCTGGTGTGGCTCAGTGGTCGATTCCCAGTCAGGGCCCATGCCCAGGTTGCAGGCTCCATGTACGGGGCCTGCAGGAGGAAGCCGATCCATGATATTCCTCTTTCATCAATGTTTCTATCTCTGTGTCCCTCCTCCTTTCTCTCTCTCTCTAAGAAATCAATAAATACCTATTTTTAAAAATAAAATGAAACGTAACAACGGGCCTTACCTCCCAGCACTATAGCGAAGGTGAGAGTAACGGTGAGCAGTCAGTCAGCGTCAGCTGCGAGACAATGGCTTTTCTATCATCACCATCAGTCCTGCCGCTAACTATCATCGAGCCCCTTTTTTCTTTTGAACCCTGTGACGTTCTCCCCACTCACTCCCATGCTCCACTCCGGCCTCAAATGCACGGAGGCTGCTCCTGCTCTGGGCCTCGGCCTTTGAATTTGCTATTCTGTTTGCTGGAGAGCTCCATTCCCTTCCAGCATCTCTTCGCTCTTTGCACAAATGCCACCTTTTCCGTGACCTCCCCGTCTTCCATTGCCTGTGTGCACGTACACACACACCCAATCACACCCTCCTACCCCATTTCCCGGCTTTGTGTGTCCCCGCAGCAAGCATCACACTCAATATCTGAGTTATCCTATTTTATCTCGCTCCCATATCATGGAAACTCCTAGAACACAGGAATTATTTTGGCTTTTTTTGTTGACTGCTGTAGTCCCAGCACCTAGAATAATGCCCAATACATAGTAGGTGCCCAATAAATATTTGCTGAGTGAGGGACTAACTCCAACCCAGATAACACAGACTGAGCACGTCGTCGCTGGGCACAGGGAGGGGTGTCTGACAGGCTAAGGAAGGAGCAGAGATTGTAAGTCACACCCAGGTGTGGTGACAGGAGGAGGTGTCTGACCCACCCGGCACCCCCTACCTCACTCTGCAGGGCGTGAGCTTTCTTGGCCCAGGCCATCTTCAGGTCCTCGGGCAGCGCCGTGAACTCGTGGCACCGTGTCCTGTAGTCATGGTCGCTGGCCAGGGCCTGGGCCTTCCTGGCGTGGACCAGGGGCACCATGTCCCCGGGCAGGTGGTACTGTGCGTGGCTGCCCACCGCCTGCCTCCGGTACTGGAGCTCGCTCTGCAGCTGGCCCACTCGCCAGCAGTGCTGGAGCCGAGGGTCGTCGCTGACACTCCGCGCCCCGATCAGCCTCCCTCGCTCCTTCACGAAGTCGTGTCTGTAGAGAAACTGGAAGAAAAGGCCCGGGGGTCGGGGGCTGGCGTGCCGCCTGCGGACATCCCACCTGCACGCTCTCAAGGCAGACCCCAGAAAAGCCGCCTGCTCTGACACTAGGACGTGATGATGGTAAGAAAAAGCACAGTGAGGCCAGCCCCGGCATATGCTTCCTGCCTGGGGGACAACCATGAAAACATCCCTCCATCCTTCCTTTCTAGTTACTGATCAAAAAGGGTTCAAAAGAAATGTATCCAGCTGAAACCAGTTTGGCTCAGCGGTAGAGTGTCGGTCTGCGGACTGAAAGGTCCCGGGCTCGATTCTGGTCAAGGGCATGTACATTGGTTGTGGGCACATCCCCGGTGGGGGGTGTGCAAGAGGCAGCTGGTCGATGTTTCTCTCTCATCGACATTTCTAGCTCTCTATCTCTCTCTGTAAAAAATCAATAAAATATATTAAAAAAGAAAAAAGAAAGAAAGAAAGAAAGAAAGAAAAGAAAGAAAGAAAGAAAGAAATGTATCCATTCGCACTTGGCAGACCGGACCCGTTTATGTGAAGTCCACATCTTCTATGATTTGTTTGTGGGGAAGAGAAAGTCACCTTCATGTCCCAATGCTATGGACGCCAGCAACAGAGTGGCTGCACACAGCCGGCAAACCCTAACCACAGCCGGTGTGAGAAAGGGCATTGGGCCGGGAGGCAGACGCCCTGGGCTCAGGACCATTTCCCGGGCAGGTTTTCTCTCTAAGTCTGGGAGGAGTCAGAAGAAAGCACGCAGTTCCCCAGGTCCAGAGGGACGGTGGCCTCGACATCGCGATTAAAAATAAACCATCACCTCCTTCCTGCTGGAGGCCTTTATCTGATTTTAGCGTCTGATGAACAGAAGCTCCGCTTCCCCTCCCTCCGCCAGAGAATCTCACTCATAACTAATATATTCTGCAGGTGACATCCTGTCTCACACGGCGAGAGATTTGCTTTAATTCGGGGAAATCAGCTGCAGACGTGGTTTTACATGGAGTTAACAGAAATTAGGCGCGACGGAAGGTCATATCATTCCACTCACATCGCTGGCGATGTCTCCAGAGACCCGAGCAGCCTGAAAAGGGAGTGCATCTATTGTCAGCTTGTAGCCTTGAGCGCGGAGATTATGCCAAGACTCCTTGTATTTTGCCTACAATGGAAACACATGTAGATTTTCTTTAAAAAAAAAAAAATTACACGAATCCAGGAACAAAGGCTCCCCCTTTCATGTTGTAGCACTGCGTCTCAGAATTGATTTCTGACAAGCGAAAGCTTTCTATTTTGCAAAGAAAAAAAAATCTCATCAGCACACACGCTGTCGTGGGCTCTGACACATTATGAACGCAACACGTTTGTGCAAAGGTCTATTTAACATGCGCATCCAAAAAGACGTGTGTGTGTGTGTGTGTGTGTGTGTGTGTGTGTGTGTGTGTGTGTGTTTGTTTAGGTTCCTGTGAATGCCAGAAGGGTCAGTTAGGTCACGTCACAGACATACGTGGCTTTGGCGTGTGCTTGAACTTCAGCAACAAGAAAGGCTTACGTCGCTCAGGTTGGCTGCGTTTGTTTTCGCTCGGACGAACTCGGGCAGCCCCAGGGTCATGGTGTACTGGTGGCTCGCATCCTCGCCGGCTGCTCTATAGAGGCGCTGGGCAAACAGAAAGGAAGGAAAAGCAAGAAAAGCACTGTGATTTCTGCAGGGCTGGAGGGCTCTCCCTTGCTCACAGTTGGGAGACACATCTGTAAAAGGCCATTTGCTATGTCGTGGGTGCACCGTCAGCCTTGGGCAAGATGTTTCTTCCCATGCAGGCTTTTTGCATGAGTCCAATTGAGTGATATAAGAAGTATAATAAGAAACTGCAAGTTGCTTTTGGTAGGGTTCAGGACATGATTCCCCCCAAACTGGGCACCTTGGCAGGCTGAGTATCTCAAGCTGAAGGGATTTGAGAAATGCAGGTGCTACAAGGATGCTCTCTGGTGCCCCCCTGAGACGGGTCACGAGACCCTCCCTAACCCTGAGGAAAGAGCATCCTCATCTCCAAAGATGAAGGGATGCAGGACGCAGAGAGGAGCTGAGCAAACAGACCTTGCTGAATGCCCCCCACTTGCCTACACTTAGTGGATACCCTCTGTCCTGTCACATTTTCCCACGACTTTTCGCTTTCTGTCAAACCCAGTGTCATAACACTCAGGCTTCACCATGTCTTCAGGTCTTGGTTTCTTTACAAAGGCTCCCCTACCAGGTAAAACACATACGAAGTAAACGTATGCTTTTCTCTCGTGAATCTGTCTTTTGTCACAGAGCCCTGGCCCAGATCCTCTAAGGGGAAAGAAAAAAGCTTTTTTTCCCCTTCCCTATACTTTGCTCAATAACAGCCTGAGGAAAGAAAAACCATTTAGGAAGTCTATCGCAAGGTTCTTCCCACATTCGATGTTTCCCTCAAGGACTCAGTGTAAAGACAACACTGAGACATGGGAAGTGGAGGAGAGACTCGGTGATGTCTAGGGGAAGTTTCCACACCCTAGTCTGTGTTCTTTACAGATCCTTCCACCCCAGTGCTCGCCTGAGGGGGTCTCAGCCAGTGCAAAAGCATTTATTCACGTGATGAGAAATGGGGCTGAGGTGGCTGAGTTCTTTGAGGCCATAACAGGCTTTGTTACCCCATAGCATCCAGCTCACCACTCAAACAAGAAAGGTTCCACAGGAATTTAAAACTTACACCTCATTAAAGAAGCCCTTTGGACGCTCTCATCCCAAGCGAGAGTGGGAAACTAACAGTAGAAATAGCCAAATCTTAACCGACTTCTGAAAGAGCCGGCGAGAGAATCTTAAAAACTAAAGATGATGCAAAATTTAACTCGCTGCCAAGTTCGCTTTCTATTTCAAGCTTGTCAGGCAGCCACTGAGAAGAAATAGAATTGAAAAGATGGTTTAATGTGAGATTTCTTCCCTGGCTCCCCCTCCGATAGATGTATTAAAGTGTAAATTGGGTAAACGATGAGTGAGGAGACAACGAGGTAGAAATTCGAGAAGTCTGACAAACAACATATTCTAGTACTGTCCATGGCCAACTACAAATCCCTCCCAAGACAATCATCGGAATGGCACTGTAAAAGTGGCTAGCCAATATTTGCTGAGACAGAACAAAGGAATGGCACACCAGCACGTCTCAAATGTTAATGCACAGCCAGTGGGTCTGGGGCAGGGCCTGAGGCTCAGCATTTCTTTTTTTAAAAAATATATTTTATTTATTTTTTATAGAGAGGAAGAGAGAGGGATAGAGAGTTAGAAACATCGATGAGAGAGAATCATCGATCAGCTGCCTCTTGCACACGTCCTACTGGGGATGTGCCCGCAACTAAGGTACATGCCCTTGACCGGAATCGAACCTGGGATGCTTCAGTCCACAGGTCGACGCTCTATCCACTGACCCAAACCGGCCTCGGCGAGGCTCAGCATTTCTAACAAGCTCCCGGGTGAGGCAGATGTTGCTTGCTGGTCTGTGACTGCACTTGGGGGGATGAGAGGACAGACAACCAGATTTCCACCTGGGCCTTGTCTCCTTCTGGAGAATATTTAAGCTCTGTATAATGGCGTTCTCTTCTCCTAACCCTCCACGCAAACACCAAGGCTTTCCACCACCTCCCCAAACCCACACATAGTCAGGCACATTTTTAACAATCGAGCAGTTCCTCACAAGCCCGCTTCCAAAGCCATCAGGGGGGGAGTGTACCTCGTTCGTAAGCTGGTTGCTGAGTTTTGCTTGAAGGAGGCTGGGGGTGTCTGTCACAGCTGTGTACTTGAATGACTGAGGATGCTGGCGGTATTTGCTCTGAATTCACACACAAGAGGGAATAAGAAGACTGGTCAGATATACAACCAGCTTTTGAAACATTAGTGATAAAACCTCTTTTTGCAAAGGCGGTCATTCCGTCAGCTGGAACCTATGCTCTTATGACCTCAGAACTCAATGGGATGAAGGAGCAGAGAGGAGCACAGGACAGACTGACTAGGATGCTTACCAGTGGGAAAGAAAGAGCTAGTCCTTTGCTATGAACATGACTATTGAAATTCAAGTACTGCTCCCAATCTTTGCTCGTTATAAATCTAGGGCTCCTCAGCATTGAGAATGTACCAGAAATGCCTGCACATACGCCTACACCCACCCCAGGAGATCAGGAATCAGTGGACCCAAGGCTCTGGATCCAATGAGGATTCTGATGCACCACAAGGTTTAGAACCCACATGTTATAGAGATTTCATTAGAAAAGCAAAGCACAAAGTTAAATCTAAACTTTGGCCAATTCCACTGGTGTAAGCAAGCCATAAGCCCATCTAATGCACCCAAGCTGGCCACTGACCCCTTCGCTTCCATTATGCCCTCCTGTCCTTGATCTATCCAAAGCCCTCTCAGAAATGAGCAAGAGTCGTCAGGATTCAAGGAGCTTAGAATTCTAGACTTCTATATTTCTACCAAGAAACTATGACCCAACTTAGAGCAACCATTTCATGTACAGCCACCAGAGAAGCACAGAGCTTAGATTAGTCCCATTCCCCCCCACTCCCCAACACACACACACACACACACACACACACACACACACACACAAATCTAAACAAAGGTTGTAATAATATCCCCATTTGGCTGATTAAAATGTTGAGGCTCAGAGAGGTTAGCAGACGAGCTTGAAGTCACACAGCAAATGAAGGCTGGCCTGGAATTTCAGCCTCCAGCTGTTGGTCTCCAAAGCCAACCCTGTTTACACTGCACCACAGCGCCAATCTCCAAAAGGACACAAGGAAGATACATGTAATGAGTCAGTGGACAGTGAATAATTCTTCTCTGTTCACAATGGAACTGACTCGGTATCTGCAAAGCTGTCTTAAATGGCATTCGGTCTGAATGGAGAATCCAGTGCAAAGAAGAGAAGCCAGGCGAGAGGTTAGCAGCCAGTCACCAATGTTAATAGTGGGACATGTAACTCACTTTCACAGTAAAACAACAACAACAACAAAAACAGATGGTGCCCAGCCAGCATGGCTCGGAGGCTGAGCATTGACCTATGAACCAGGAGGTCACAGTTTGATTCCCGGTTAGGGCACATGCCCGGGTTGTGGTCTTGGTCCCAATTGTAGGGCATGCAGGAGACAGCCAATCAATGATTCTCATTGATCTCTCTCTCTCTCTCTCTCTCTCTCTCTCTCTCTCTCTCTCTCACCTTTCATCTCTGAATTCAATTTAAAAAAAGATACACACAAACACACACACACACACACACACACACACACACACACACACCCCTAATGGCTATGCAACAACCTCTGATGTAGAAATATACTGACAGTCCTCAATCCTTCCAGTCCCACTTACCTCACTGATGAGTTCAGATGCTCTTTTTCTTCCTTCGATCTCTAAAGTGCCTGGAATGACACAGGCCACCCCTCGCATGAAGTTTAAGTCTGACCGGTACTCATTCTAAAAAAACAACAACACTAGGAATCAGGAGAGCCAAACTTACAGGACAAGGGAGCAGAGAGAAGCCAGAGGACTCAGGACAGGACAGCATCGTGGCTGGTCCTGTCCACTGGGTCTCTCTAGATGTCTCATACTCAGCCAACACACTTAGCAAATGTTCATGAGGGAAATAAACGCTGGGGCAGGTGGTGGTTAGAAAGTCAGTTGTTTTGGGGCAAATAGGAAAATTGTCTGACAGGTCTTCTAAAACAAAACCCAGCAGCAGCAGGTGGCACAAATGAATCATGGGGTAAGAAAGAACTAATGAATGAATCCAGGAGAATGTTGCAAAGACCTGCCTGAGTCTGCTCAGTAGGGCTCATTGTGGATCCCTCAGTGATGTGGGGTGACAATGTAAAGGGCTCCCAAGTTCACTTCCCTTCAGCCACTGAGGTACCGCTGGGCGCACTGCCTTCAAATCGCGAACAAGAGGAGAGGTGGAGCCAGAGGGTGCTGTGCTCAAGTGACAAAGGGCCCGAGAGCTGAGCCTGGCAGCTCCCCATCCCTACAGCTGCTCTGCAGTTCTTGACAGCTCCTGTCATTCAGTAAACGCCGCACACGGGCATACACTCTGAACAGACCTGAGGGCCGGGCTGAAGCCATTTTCTTTTCTGACACAGGCTTCATGGCATGAGAGCCCGGCCAGCTAGGAAGGTGGCTGAGGACCACACGGGCTGCTGAGAATCCTATACCTCATTGGGAGTGAGGAGATCCCTGAGGCCCCCCTCCTGGGCCTGCCCACTTCAGAGCCACGAATGCACTTCCAGGCTCAGTCCCCTCCTCGTGTATAGCCGTGTGACCTTGGCCAAGCTGCCCACCTCCTTCCAGCCTCACTATTATTTCTCCGTAAAATGGGACCAATACTATTGGTACAGGGTCATTTTGAGGTTTAAATGAGATGACGCATGAAAACGCAAGGCTCAGAATTCAGCAGAAATACTAGTATTCGCTAAATGGGTGTTGTTATTAGATCTGTGCAGCTGTGCTTCCTCTTAAAAGCTAGGTAGGAACATGGGGAAGGGAGTTAAGAGAAACCCCAATTTTGGATATCCCTTCTCTAGAGGACCCCCACTGAGCCAAAGGGAGCTGCCAGGTCAGTGCCTGCGGGCCAATCGGAGAGGGAAGAGCATTGGGAGAGAGAGGCCAGGCCTCCTTACCTCGCTCTGCAACTTGTGAGCTCTCTTGGCACAGCTGAGCCTCAGGTCCTCGGCCAAGGACGTGTACTGGGGGAGCGGGTGTCTGTAGTCCTGGTCGCTGGCCAGGCTCTGAGCCTTCTTGGCATGCACCAGGGTGACCATGTCCAACGGCAGATGGAACTGCGCCTTTGAGCGCTCGAAGCCTTTCTTGTAATTCACCTACAGGGCAGACAGATCAGCGGCAGCTATTTCAAAGCCACCATTCGCCTCGGGGGCATCAGTTACTGCCATGCCACCGTCCCAGGGAAGCCTGGGGGAGGTTCTTGGCAGGGCCGGGGTTCCTTGCTTTGGGAACTGGCTTAACACACAGAACGAACCTCCAGGTCGGAAGGCTCACCACCCCCAGCTCCTGGAGGTCACTCATTTGAATGAACAAACATCCATGGCTCCCCCAGTTGGCGAAGATATAAATGTTCAAGGGACAAAGACAAGGTCAATGATGTCCTTGCTCAAGTCGTGCTCTTCCCATTTTCCCAAGCAAGAAGATGCATGCCTACCAGAGCCCTCCCGCCCCAGTCTCTTCCCTTCACCTTCTCAAGCTCAGGTTCTAGACACCAGGGCGTTTCCTCTCAGGCGAGCTTAAGAGGAGCTTCTTCAAAGCATCAGATGCCCTCCCAGGAAACCTGGGGGCCAGGCGCTGTGGGTGGACGCCTGGAAAGCCAGTTCAGAGGAGTGGGTATTCCCAAGAGCTCAACACATATTCCAGAGAGAGAGGGAGGGGCCTGTTGGCAGACCACTGTGTCCTCAGAGGAGCTGTCTGCAGGTCTGGGAAGCGCACTCCAGGCTTCTTGGGAGTCCGATGCATAATTGCCATCTCTTAGCTGCAGCCGCTCCTGCCTAACCCCCCAGTCCCACCCCCTCGAATCCTCCCCTCACCCCTACCATAAAGCCAAGGACAATTCATGTCCAACCCCATACTCTTAGGTCAGCACCCAGGACAGAACGGGGAAAACGATGTTAGAAATGGGGACAGAGAGGCAGAGAACACGAGCAATTGTGGGAAGAGTGTAAGATGCGGAGCTGGCTCCACCTCCTGGCTCTCCCCCTTTCCAGCTGATCTCAGGCAAGGGGCTGAGCCACAGAGTCTAGGTCTCCATATCAGTGCACCCAGGATGAACACACAGAGGACGTTCCCAGAGAGAGTGTGATGGTGGAATGAGACACTGCATGTCCAAGTGTCTGATCCTCTGTAACATGTTGTCACATATCAAATAGCATCACTACTACTAGCCAAGTCCCACACAATGTGCAAGGAGACTGGGAACACAGAGGGTGTTCCCTGTGCCAGCACCCAGAGGGTGAAGTCAAGGGTTGTAATCTGAGATGCCTTCAGGAGACAGACAGGCAGCAAAAAGGAGCGAAGGAGGAAGTGGGGGCGAGGGGGGGAGGCTGTGTGGCCAGGGCACAGGTCCCTCTGAATGCAGCTCTCCTAACCAACGGCACCTGTGGCTTTGCAGACTCCTCTGGCCGGAAGCCTAAAACCTTTATGTAAAAGTTTCCCTTCTTAAAGGCTTCCAATGAATTCACTGTAGACCAAACAAAACACTCCTGCAATCCCAAACCAGACCTCAGGTCCCTTTTAGAAGCCACGGGGCAAAAATCATAGAACTCCCAGCCAGGAAGGAGGAAGGGGTCAGCTTGCCCAACCTCTCATTCACCGAAAGAAGCTGAAACCCAGAGGGGCCAAGGGACCTGACCGTGCCACAGAGACCGTCAGGTCTGAGCCAGTCCCCGCAACCAGAGGATGATCGACATTAGCTGGTGTCGCATGGTGGGGGGCGTGGGTAGGGATGTGGGGAGGGCAGTGTTGCATTTTTCTCCCACTCACTTCACTCTGCAGCGAGCTGGCGTACACTGAATGCGCCAGGCTGATATCGTCTTCCAAGCTCCGGGAGCCGAGCATCTGCCCTTTCATTTTCTCAAATGCTTCTTTGTATTTGTACTAAAGGGAAAGAGAACAGGAGAGAGTAACAGCTCGGGGACAAGGGACACGGAATGGAAGAGGTGGGCATTGGGCGAAAATGTTTTGTTCTTTTGACAGTGACTGGGCGAGTTGAAAGGAACGCGTGGGAGTCGTCAAAGGGCCTGTTCTTTCATATGCAAGACTCCCAATGACTGAAGAGGTGACACGCCAGGACGAGTGAACGCTTGGGCGGCCCACACTGGGAGAAGCTGGGTGCATTGTTAGCTGTCTCTGCACGGGGACCCGCTTCAGGAAAACGCTGGGCAGAGGGTGCATTTCATCTGCCAGGGGCCCATGTTTACAAAGCATCTATCTGGCTTTGTGCCCCAGATAGTTTTGCTGTAAGGTAGTACGTTCTTTCTCATTGGCCGCTACCTGATTGCCCTGCCACCGTCAGTTGGGAGAGGCAGGCAGGGGGCAGGGGCAGAAGGCATGCGCATCGGTTAGTATTAAACGTTGTCACGGTAATGGAGATGGATGCTCACGTCGCTGATGATTTCACCGGAGGCCTTCGCTGCCTGGAATGGGATGGCATCCAATCTCAGCTTATACCCGCCGTCTCGAAGTTTGCTCCAGGATTCCTTGTACCGTGTCTGTGGGGAAGACGTGCCCACTTTAAGACCATTGTGTGGCCTGCTGGCTTCCCAAACTCCCGTTTACCAAAATGGGAATCTGGTGTGTCGTGGGTTTGTCTCCCCGTTGGGAGTCAGAGATCACTGGGGTTTAGCGCAAATCACCAAAGAGCTGGCTCCTGGCTCCTGCCCACCCATGGGGGAGGGGAGGCAGCGGGAGGCAGGGGACAGGGGTTGAAAAGCAAGAGCTCTGGAGGCAGACAGACCCAGATTTCTGTGAGCAGCAGGTCAACTGCAAGAAGGAGGCATGAGGCTGAATGTGCGTGGCTCTTTACATGGGATACAGAGAACTAGGCTGTCTCTTGTAAAGGAACAGGTAGGGGGACTGACAGAGTCTATGGAGGTGAAGCCCCCACGTCTCTCCTTGCCACTGCGGCTGGGTATACTCACCTGTATTCTGATGCCCATCTACCAGTCCAACAGTACAAATGCCCTTTTATACAAAAATTAGAGGCCCAGTGCATGAAATTCAGGCAGGGGGGTGTTTGTCCCTCAGCCCAGCCTGCACCCTCTCCAATGTGGGACCCCTCGAGGAATGTCTGACTGCCGGTTTAGGCCTGATCCTACATGATCGGGCCTAAACGGGCAATCAGACATCCCTCTCACAATCCAGGACTGCTGGCTCCCGACTACTCACCTGCCTACCTTCCTGATTGTCCCTAATCATTTCTGGCTGCCAGCCTGATTATCCCTAACCACTCCTGTCAGTCTGATTGATGCCTAACTGCTCCCCTGCCTGCCTGTTTGCCCCTAACTGCCCTCCCCTGCAGGCCTGGTCACCCCTAACTGCCCTCCCCTGCAGGCCTGGTCCCCCCCAACTGCTCTCCCCTGCAGGCCTGGGCCCCTTCCAACTGCCCTTCCCTTCAGGCTCAGTCACCCCCAATTTCCCTCCTCTGCCAGCCTGGTCACCCCTAACTGCCCTCCCCTGCAGGATTGATTGCCCCAACTGTCTTCCCTTTCAGGCCTAGTCCCTCCCTCCCAATTGCCCTCCCTTGTTGGCCATCTTGTGGCAGCCATCTTGTGTCTACATGGGGGCAGCCATCTTGTGTGTTAGAGTGATGGTTAATTTGCACTTTACTCTTTTATTAGATAGGATACATTTCTTCCTTGTAAATGACTTTGACTTCCTGGCTCTCCTGCAGGACCAGCTACCTAATTGGCAGGGCCCAGTGCAAATGGAGATGTGGAGCCCCTGATTCAAAAAGATCACACATTCCAAGACAGTGACAGAGCACCACACCAAGCAGGGCCCTTCCGGGCACAGGATACTATGTGTCTATGCAGGTCCCCCAAGGCCCTACAATGAAAACCCGGACCCCTCCACCAGCCTCACCTCACTGATATTCATGGCATTCAGCTTGGCCAGCAGGACTTCCGGGAGGTCGGCTGTCTGCGTGTAATGATGCTTTATGTTTTCCCCTTGTTCTCTGTATATCCTCTGTGGGCAGAGAGAGAGGCTTTGCGTTAGACCCAGAAGCCTCCCCCACGCAGCCATCAGCCAAGTTCAACTCCAAGAGATGAGGATGAGGCAGCTGCCACCTCCCCACAGAGACAGGACCATGGGTGCCCTGCCTCCATCTAGATGTCACAGCCAGCGCGGTGACACGCACTTCATTCCCTCCCGAGTTCTGCATCCCCACTCAGAACATGACAGGCTGAAGCTGCACTCCACTGGAAGCACACAGCTGAGACGGTGTCAAATGACAAATAAGGTCTCATTAACATCCGTAATTTTGTTATTAACGATAAGCTAAGAAGAGGGCATCAAAACTCAGGAGGCATGAGAGATGATGGCTCGCCTACAAGTGAGGTTTTCCCTGGATTTACATCAATCCTCATCCCTCTTCCACTGCAAGGATTCTTATGCTCAAAATTGCCTCCTGCGCTAGCTGGTTTGGCTCAGTGGATAGAGCGCGGGCCTGTGGATTGAGGGTTCTCGGGTTCAATTCCAGTCAAGGGCACATGCCCGGGTTGCAGGTTTGATCCTCAGTAGGAAGCGTGCGGGAGGCAGCTGATCAATGATTCTCTCTCATCATGGATGCTTCTATCTCTCTCCTCTTCTCCTTTCCTCTTGGAAATCAATAAAAGTATATAATTTTTAAAAACTGTCTCCTGGTTGGGTCTAGGGCACTATTTACCCAGAATTCTGATTTGGGCTTTGGGATATTCTAAGAAATGAGCAGGGACACGTGGCAGTGGCAACAGCCACCCACCAGAGCAAGTTTCTAAACTGGGCTTTTTTCCGCCCCAAATCCTATCCGATGTGTCTGAGTTTCTGTGCATCACAGCACTGCCCCCTAGAGTTGGTTAGGGTAAGGAAGAAGTAGGTAACGTTTTCTTTTGTACAAAAAAGTTTCTTTTGTACAAAAAAGAATCCAATTTGATTCTGATGGCTGATTATCAAAATATGATATATTCCTAAGCCTGAGCGTTTGTAAATCATCCCAGAACATATTTGGATGGGTGCTCGGGCCATTTCAGAATGCCTGTCCAATAAGGCACAACCAGAATAGCTGGCCCAATTGGGAAACTGGGGAGAATTCTGAAATGCCTCCCTGCAAGTTTGGTAGATTTTCCTTGTAGCAAGTTGAATGGTTTGAAGATATTTAACAGGTGTGTCTGCTCTGCACAGGGATCTGTGGACCCCTCTCAGCAGAATCAGCCAAACTGGGCTGACTCATGCCCTCAAGTGACCTTTTATAGCACCTCATCCTTCAGTGAACCCTGAGCTGAGAGGACCAAAGGCCAGATCTTGGTGAACCTGAAACTGAGAAGATGGGACGTGGCTTGACAGTTTAGTTCAAGGTACAACCATGAGATCCAAATCATTTCCAAAGCCTTGGAGAAATGCCAAGAGAAAGAATTCCTGTCACTGAGCCTGGCTTCAGTGTTCCAATTACTGAGAATTTCACCCAAAAGTTCCAGCTCTGGAAACAATGCTTTAAAACCGAAGGAGCTGGGGGAAGGCCCCACCACAGACAAATCTTTGCGACGTGCAAATAGGAAAAAGTGAGCCTGGGGCTGAGGGGTGGCGGGGCCCCAGTTGGCATCCTGAGAGCGTTAACATGTCCCCCACCTCACATCCTAATGAGGCAGCACCCCGCTAAGGTGAGCCTCAGCAAAGGACAAGACGCTCCTTCATCCCTAGAGCAACAGAAGGAGCAAGCCAAGAACCCCTCGGCTTCAATCACAGGGTTGAAAGGAGCGCCCACTCTCAGAGTCATAATGTATATACATTATCGCTTACATCCACTGCTTGGGTGTAACTAATTCTGGCCTGGACCATCTCCGGAGTGTCTTTAATACTGGTAAACTTCAAAGCATCTGGATGCTGACGGTACTTCTTCTGTTGAGCAGAAAAAAGATCAAAGCTGTGAATTTTGTGCTGCTCTTTCATGCCATTTGAAAGAGAAAAAAAATCATAGGTTGCTTGAGATTAGAGTGAATTTGTGAACATAATTATTATTCGGCTTCCTCCATCTTTATATCCTCGGTGACTTCGGGTTAATATTTGTTTCCATTTAAGAATAACCTCGTGTCAATTAACATTAAAGTATATCTACCTGCTGCAAAGAAAACATCTCAAAATTAGGTTGTACTGGTAAAATACTGTGGGAGACACACTCAGGGAAGGATGTCTTTTTCATAGGCTTCAAATATGGTCTCACAGTTGTTTACCTATCTTAGTCTGAATTTCCGAGGCAGGAAAACATTCACAGTTACATTTACCCATTGAAGCTGTCTAATTTCCTTTCCACGAAAGGCAGAAATTATCACAGTCAAAACCCATGCATTTAACAGTGAGTGATTGTCCACGACCTAACCAACTCTGAGCCCAGTTCAGTTCAAAATGGTTAACAAGAACAAGAAAAAGGGCATTTGAAATAGCAACAGCAACCAATTCAAATGCTGATGAAGACTTATAATCCCAATTTGGTTCCTAAAAATTTTTGCTTAAGTTAGTTTGTTTTTCAATCAAAGCCCCTTCTCAAGAGACTAGAATGGTTGCCATCTTCATGGAATTAGGAAGCGTATCGTGCCTCAATCAAACTATTCTTTTATGAGCCCTCCCGTATCCTGGGTTGTCTGAAGCAGACACCGCTCAATAGCCATCCTCTGACTTTGCAAAAAGTTTTATGGGAACACCCCATGCTCATTCATTTGTGTACTGCCTGTGACTGCTTTCATGCTACCATGACAGAGGTGAGCTAGTGGGACAGAAACTGTGCGGCCTATCAAGCCAAACATATTTACTCTCTGCTCCTTCACAAAAAAAAGTTTGCTGACGGCTGCTTTCACTGATAGGTGGGTGTGCAGTTGTGGCCCTCCCAATAGAGCCTCATATTCCGTCTGAAAATTAAGAGGTCAACCCCATGTGATACTAACCTGGAAGCATGTCAGACTGCAATGAGATGGTTGGGAAAAGGTGCTAAGAGATGTCCTGACTTACCGAAGTTTGAGGACTTGTCATATAAATTTGCCAAATATGGTGGAAAATTAAGACCATTGTGGGATAGATAGTTCCAAGCAGATCCCTTAGCTGCCAGATTTAGATGCATGAAGGTACCATGGTGAAGTCTAAATGATGTATATAATGGTCTTTATTGGGTCTTGATATGCAGGAGTCCCCTTTGGAGAGCCTGGGGCCATGAATTCTCAAACCTACATGTGTGTTCCTGTAACTTTCCACAGGCTTCCTCCTAACATGGTCTTTTCTTTATTAGAACTTCCCAGGGCGGTCCAGTCTCCACCAGGCTCTCAGGGTTTTCTGAGCCTGGACTGTCGACTAATGTTTCTAAAAATCAGGCCAACCAGAGTGAGCCCGCTTTCCAAATCAGCTCCGTGACATGTCAGGTAACTAGGATGCTCTCCTATTGGGAAATATCAGTGCTGAGAACGTGTGTCTGAAACTCCAGCACAGGGGTCTGTTTTAAGTACACTTTCAGTCTCCTCCGAACACCAAAACTGCCGAGGCTGAAGTCTCCTGGGGCTCTGGTCACTCTGGTCCCCACCCAGAAAAGTCCAGAAGGACCAGGCTACTCTGAAGGCTACTAAACAAATGCTCACTTGGTTTTCTGAAGAAGTCCCTCTCCAAACAGACGCGGAGCGAGAGGGCAGGTGGGGTGAGAGGGCAGGGTGGGGCGGGTCCAGCTCCAGGTAACTGGACCCTAGGTCTAACCCAACCAATCAGGTCAGCCAAGGTAGTGCATCTGAGTTGTTTGGGGGTACACAGCCTCTCTGTGAGTGTGAGCCAAGGACAGCTGCCTGGTGTGTCTCGTGGAGTGGGCCTCTCCCTCTCAGCAATGTCTGGAATTATTTTTACTCATCACTACTGGGCAGAGGGTGCTACTGGCACCTAGTGGGTAGAAGCCAGGGATGCTACCAAACATCCTACAAGGCCCAGGACAGTCCCCACAACAAAGATGATCAAAATGTCAACAGCACCGAGATGGAGACACCCTGATCTGCTCATGAGGCTGCTGTCCTACTATGTGAGCAAGGGCCTCTTTTCATAAAGCCGAATGCCTTCGGGTTCAGGGAGGGTGGCCACAAGGAAACAGGAGTGAGATTTAAATAGAAAACACCCCCCCCCAAAAAAAAAAAAAAAAAAAAAAAAACACGAGAGAATCGTGTCACATGATCCACACCACGTGAACATTCAAACGCTGTTTACACTGTGGCAGAAAGCAAGGGAGAAAATGTGCATACACTCACAAAGGGGCTTCCTGGGAGCCATAACTGTGTCTTTTCATCATCTCTCCCGCGTTGCTTCATTAAAAAGGTAAGTTAGTGGGGTAGCAATTGGAGTCCCCGTTTGATTGCCATTATTATTCATAATATCATTTGTCACCCACTTTGTTTTTGGCCAGGCTTTGCGGGCCCCTACCGGCGCGTGTTTGGTATGTGGTTTCTCTATAATTACCAGCCCTGGTCTGGGGTTGGAGGTCTTTCATGTAGCGTTCCCTTTTTCTCTGCCTTTCGAGTGGAAATTATTTTAATTTCATACAGAAATGCCACATGCCTCATGCAGCCGGCTGTCAGGGAACCTCACCTCGCTAATGAGTTCTCCTGCCTTCTTCGCCTGCTCCACATTTAATGACCCGACGGCGACCCAGCCGGCGCCTTTCATCCACTTCACATCTGCCCTGTATTGGTTCTGACAAAGGAGAAAGAAAAGAAAGAAAGAAAGAAAGAAAAAAAAGACAGGCCATTGTTGGTATGCAGGCATTTCAAGGGCTATTAACAGTGGCCGAGGTAGCCTTGGTGGCAGCTGAGTCGAGTGAAATGCCATCTTTGTCTTATCCATGTCCGGATGGCTCCAAAAGGTAAATTAATTTCCCCTTTAATTGCAGCCTGCCCGCTGATGGCCACTCTAGGCCCCGCCCAGGGGAGGGAGGGCCGGCATCCACCTGGTCCCTCGTTAGGAACTGGTGTCTACCTAGAGAAAAGGCGGGTCCTCATTGTCTGCTCTCCCCGTTTTCTTCTTTAAAATGACACGTAGCGGGAGAAGAAAATGAGCATTCGCCACAGGACCCAGGAGGGGTGCTACAGGAGGGAATGTCACAAGACATCCGAGGCTTCCCGCGTGCCAATTCCTTCCTCGGTGGGGAAGGTGGGGTGGGGTTCTCATTCCCTCACTTGCCAATAAAGGAATAGAGTTAATGGAAAGCCGTTAACTGGACACGTCTCTAAAATGGGCACCTCCCCGGTCTCCCCTTAAACAGCTCTGCCTGCAAGGATGTGTCCACGCGGCACCCAGCCCACCCTGTGTAACCGCTGGCTGCAGCTGACCCGCCTTTTCAGGTCACCCACCTTCGAGTACAAGAGCCAACCGAAGACGAAAGAAAACAGAACCAGGTGAGGGATATAAGGAAAAGGGGGCGAGGGCTATGGATCAGTGAGCTGATCATTCTAAAAATGGGGATGACTAAAGCTGGAATGCACATCCAAGGTGCCCTCCCACAGGAAGCCACCGCTCAGAAGGTCACAAGTACATCCCCCTCACCAGGGGGCATCCCAAAGAAACATGGAAAACGTATGCAGGTCAGAATTCCAGAAAGAAAAAGGAAGCTTTCTAATTTTCTGTTTCATCATATTGAATTCATAATGGCCATAAGGAGAACAAGAGTTAAGCCATACTGAAACCTGTTTGGCTCAGTGGATGGAGCGTCAGCCTGCGAACTGAAGGGTTCTGGGTTCGATTCCAGTCAAGGGCATGTACCTTGGTTGCAGGCCCGTCCCCGGTGGGGGGTTGTGCAGGAGGCAGCTGATCGATGTTTCTCTCTCATGGATGTTTCTAACTCTCTATCCCTCTCTCTTCCTCTCTGTAAAAATTCAATAAAATACATTTAAAAAAAAATAAAAATAGAGGTAAGCCACTAGGAAGCTAACACGTTTCCACCCAGGGACTCAAAAACAGATTATTTCCAATAAGCATTAACTATTGTCTTGAAGGATCTGGTTAACCTGCATCAACACACACACACACACACACACACACACACACACACACACACACACATAGATGGAGCTTACATCACTCTGTAAACCGTAGGCCTTCTTGGCCCATTCCACCTTCATGTCCGTGGGCAGAGCTGTGAAGTGATGAGACGCCGTCTTGTAGCCCACGTCTGTGGCTAAATGCTGAGCCTTGCGGGCGTGCACAAGGTGGACCATGTCTAGGGAGACGTGGCACTGGGACTTGGTGTCCTCGAATCCCCTTTTGTACTCCAGGTCGCTCTGCAGCTTGGACATTTGCAGGGAGTGGCTCATTTGCGAGTCGCCCTGGGCCCCCTGAGCCCCAATGAGCTTTCCTCGGGACCTCTCGTAGTCCTCCTTGTACTTCACCTGGGTGAGGAGAGGAGAGCAGGGGTGGGTCAGAATCTCCTAAAGGAAGGGTGGCCTGACCAGTGTGGCTCAGTGGTTGAGCATCGACCCATGAACCAGAAGGTCACAGTTCAATTCCCAGTCAGGGCACATGCCTGGGATGCAGGCTTGATTCCCAGTAGGGGGCACGCAAGAGGCAGTCGATCCATGATTCTCTCATTGTTGATTTTTTTTTTTAATCTTTCTCTCTCTCTGAAAATCAATAAAAACATATTTTTTAAAAATAAAGAAATTGTGACATTTTAAACCACACGCATTGCCCGGCTGGTGTGGCTCCATTCGTTGAGCATCGTTCCATGCGCCAAGAGGTCACAGGTTTGATTTCTGGTCAGGACCCATGCCGGGATTGCAGGCTTGATCCCCAGTAGGAGGCAACTGATCGATGCTTCTCTCTCATTGATGTTTCTATCTCTCTCTCCCTCTCCCTTACTCTCTCTCTCTTTCTCTCTAAAGTCAATGAAAACATGACTTTAAAAAAAACACCACAGGTGTGAAAGTTAAAAGAAAGCCATATGACAGAATCCTAATAGAATTAGTGGCATAAAAAGTTTGCCTCCTTTGAACAACCTTTCATCGAACAGTGAAATAAAATATTACTGGTCATTATTCCCTTTCCACCTCAGCTGCCCGAAAACTCAGAGCCAAAGAATGTTCAGCTATACAACAGTCTTCTCTCGATTTCCTGGTGAAATTCCATCTTTTCGCTGTATTATTTGCCACCCCTCTTCCTGGATTTATTTTTAAGTGTCCTTTTGCATTCCTGAGAGCCACTTTAAAATCCTTTTTTTTTTCCTTTCTTTCTTTTTTTTTTTTTTTTTTTTTTTGGTAATAGTGAGAACGTGACAAATAAAAAGTATTCACGAAATTAAAAAGACAGAATGTCCAAAATGCAATTGCTCTTTGAGGAAGGAGCTTGAATTCAAAACACAACTGGGATACATAAATAGTTAGAAGTATGGGTACCAAAGGAAGCATATTGGCCTAAAAAATAAAAAATAAAAATAAAAAGGTATTAGGCCAAGAGCAATGAGTATCAGGAGAAAGAATAAGTATGGGAATGATTTAGAAAGTGTTACAGGATACTATGTGTGGCACTATTTTAACGTTGTCATTGCTGTGGCCATCAGATGATTTGAGCTCCTCCTCACTCACTTCTGTCAACAGCAACATCAGTATCAGAGTCTGTCACCATTCACTGGACACTTTCTCTGAGCCAGGCTTGGTATACCCCTGCGCCCCTCCAAGGGCATCTGCAAACCAGAACTGGTTTATAAAACGTTACCCTCTGACAACAGAAGGAGTTGGTGTCAGAATGTAGATCAACTGATCACCACGCCACTGTTTAGTTCCGCTGACGTCTCTCTATATTTATGTCTATGGAATCCACAGATTACATAATACATACGTGACCTATAGAGTATGTAATATGTACATACACATGCTGTAAAGGGCAGAATTCACGGAGACATGGATACGTTGGAGACGGACTCACCTCGCTGGCTAGGTCCCTCTTGGCTTTGGCTGCCAGGAAGGCCAAGGAGTCAAGACGAAGCTCAAAGCCTTTTGCCTTCTGGTTTTCCCAGCTGCTCTTATACAGTTTCTAAGGGGATTCAGGAGACAAGAGATCATCTTCACATGAGACCATTCCCTTAGACTCTGTAACGACCCCTCTGGGGGGCCAACACCGATCACACCTTTCCCCCAAATCCAAGACCTCAGAAACCCTGTAACCTGAACACATCCAGGCCTCCTTGTTCCTGCCTTAATGCCTCTTTCTACTCATGGCTTCAATCAAAAGAAGCAGACATTGAATTCGAAAGGCCTTGACATGCCAAAGATGGGATACCATGACAGAACACACAGCAACATTTCTGAAAGGTGTTCTCCAGCTCTGTGCACACACCCCACCCATCCAGCCACTGTCCCACTCTCTTCTTTCCCTGTCCCCCAGCCTCCAGTTCCTCTACGTCTTTTCCTTTCTCCTCCCAATTCTTGTCCTGCCTCCACTTCCAGATTTCAAGTTCTTTCTTTGAGAAGGCTCCCTGCCTTCTGTGGTCACGCCCTCTAGTTCTTTCCTCTCCCCATTAATCAAATCAAGACCCCAAATCCTGGGAGCTGAGTGGCAGAGCAAAGGCCCCTCCTTAGAAGACACAGATGGGAAAGTTGGGATCATGTATACTTTTGCGCCTAAGAGCAAAGCTTCCTTTTGTACAGTCCTCCGAGTGCTTTCTGTATATTAGCTCATTGCAGCCTCATGACAACCCAATGATGAAGGGATTAGTATTACCCTCATTTTACCAATTGGACAACTGAGAGCAAAATTTTTCCCAAAGTCACATATCTAGTAACTAGCAGAGCCAAGGACCAAACCCAGGCAGTTTGGAGCAAATGTCTCAGCTCTGAGTCCCTCCCCTTATGCTGTTTCCGCTCTGAGCTCCTTCACATAGTCAGTGGCTCAAGTCACCACTGGCTCACTCCCATGAAAGGCTGTCCTCCCTATAATACTAGTCAGGAACAAGGCTGCTAGATGAGCTATTTACAATGACCAGATGTATGCAACCCAAGCTGACACACCAACATGGCTGGTCAGGTTTCGGGTCCTGGTGCCCACATAGGGAAGCCGGGCCCACGTGCTGTACCTCGCTGAGATTGGCAGCATTGGCTCGGGCCTGTAGGAAGAGGGGTTCGTCTTTGCTGATGCTGTACTGGTGGAGGGACTGCTCGTTTCCTGCCTTGTAGGCCACCTGTTGGGAGAGAGAACTGGGTCAGGAGCAGGTGGGCAGGTGGGCATCACTCATGGGTTCTTATGTCTGCTTGAGTCTTCTGAGCCTTGCCTGGGAAGACCTTACCAAACCACCCAGACCAGCCAGTGGCCACTAAGAAACAGTAAATGAGGCTTAACACAGGAGAGTTAACAGGAGGAGCAGTGGGAGGAGCTGAGAGAAGAATGTGGCCGGGGAAGCAACCCTAAAATCCCTCCAAGGTTTTTGTTCTCATGCCTTTTCCTTGAGAAAACATAGACCTCCCCAATGCGTCCTCACCTACGCTGTCTGCAGCCTCAAAAAATAACCCAGAGAGCTCAAATGAGCACAGACTCTCCACGTAGGAAAAATAAGAAGCACACTCTGCCTCCTGCACCCCCATAATCGATCCTAATGCAGTCATAGGGCTGACACCTGGAAAGTGAGCAGCGACCAGAATGACATCTCCATCACTCTTGCTCTTTCTCCCTCTCTTTTCCTCCCGACCAACAACTTGAGTTTCTAAACAGTGGTTTTCAGCTGACTTGTTAAGTTGAAAGCATCCTTTCTGGCAGGTGTACCTGCGCCTGTAGGAGGGAACGTGAGGACCGTAGCAACTAGGGTACCTACTTGGTGCAGGTGTGCAACCAGTGTTGAACACTGATGTGTCAGTAACATGTGTGGAGTTTCATTGCTCTGCCCCCCACATGCAAGCTCAAGCGGGCATGACATGTACACAACCCATAAGCAAATATCATTGTCCCCCACAATAAATCTCTACTGCCTCCAGAACTGTAGAACCTCTGATGAGAGATAGAAGGAGAAAGAAAGAAGAAGAAACTAGGCAATAATGAAAGCAGAAAGGAATAAAATCAAGTGGCATCAACCCCAACAAGCAGGGAGAAGTGTGGTGGCTGAGGCGGGGAAACCTGGGGTCCAGCTCTCAGACAGCCTGGAAGCCTACAGAAAGCTGTGTCCAGCCTATTTAAAGGGATGATTCTTTGTTGGTCCCTGGATCGTGCCTGGGCAGCACCTGCTGTTGTCCCCAGAAGCTCCCAGGCCCATGACACAGCGGCCTGGTGGAGAAAGAGCAGCCAGGGACTCACCCCGCTCTGCAGCTCCTGGCTCTTCTTGGCGTGCTCCATCTGGGAGCTGTCGGCCACACTGGTGAACTTCAGCTCATCCACCCTCTGCCTGTAGTTTTTCTGTTTCCAAAGAAAAGGGACTTCATTAGGATGAGGCTGTCCAATCACACACACACACACACACACACACACACACACACACACACACACACACACTTTCCATGGCCCAAGCATGTCCTGAGGTTGAGAGGGATGTTCCCTCTGGTCCTGCACTTAGGGACAGGCAGACCTGAGACTGCCTGCCCTGGTGAGAATGTTTTAGTTGCTACTCCTGCATTTTCTCCTGATAAATCCTGTATTTCACCATGTGCCCTGAGATGTGTCTATCTTGTAAATCTAGATCTGACCCAGGAGAGTGAGGTGTAGGGAATTTGGATTTCACAATCATGAAGACTGAGCTCCGAATCTCACCTCCGCCCCCTTCCAGCTTCAGAGCTGAGCAAACCCCCTGCCCCCACCTCAATGCTGTTGGCAAGAGGATTATAGGTACCAACTGAACCCCTAATAGGGATTGAAATATTAAAAACTCCAAATCTGCTCCCTGTAGGAAAATAAAATTCTAGAGCAAATACTTCAGATACTTGCAATTTCCTTTCTTAGCTCCATTGCATTGATGGAGAACTCCTTCTCTAAGTAATTGAAGGAAGTTATATTTCCCTTCCAGGGTTGAAATTCACAGTGATCCCACACTCCACACTGGTCAATGTTCTTATTAGGAGCTCAGAATCACCTGGACAGGGCACAGCAGGAACATTAAAAAGGCGAAGGAGATGCTTTCTACATGTCCCTGGAGGAGCTTAACATGGATAGACACAGAAGTGAGGTAGAAACACATACCTCAGGCTGAATTCACTCCTAAGGCTAGTTGGGGCCCCTGACAGCACTCCTGTCCAAGTCAAATGGGACTTTGGCTGTTCCCACCTGTATTTTAGCTGGTCTCAAAGAAGCTAAGTAAGAGGACCCTAAAGGGTTATTCTATTATCTCTACCTTCTTTATTTATATATTCTGGCCATAAATGTGTCTGGGTCAGAGAGAAGGACGAGTACAGTAGGAAATAAGGATAAATTACAAAAACATGCTTTGGGGGTGCAAAATTGCTTAGTGGTCAGAAGCTGGGGCAACGGATCAAACACTTGATTCGGTTGCCACCTCTGTTAGTTCCACTTTAAGTCTCACTTCCCTCTGTTAACAATGGGATGTTAACAGAATAATAATAGTGTCACTCTCTTACGGCTGCTGTGAGCAATAAATGAGCAATATGTATGTAACACACTCGAAGTGGTAAATAAATGACAGCAATGAGCACATAATTATCAATCCACAACTGGCAGCTATGACTACCACTATTATTACCATTTGCGAGAGAGATGCCGACTCAGCCTTCCTGGCCCCAACACAAGAATCCCCTTTAACAGATCCCAAAGAGCACTCCGGAAACAGTCACATTTCCAAATGAAGTACCCTCTAAAAGTCCTCCTGTGCCTTCTGCCAAAGCCAGCTTTCCATGGGGCAAAGAGAAGCAGACTTGGAGCCACGGGCACTTCGGAGGGAAGCCTGTCCAACCTTCTCATATTTAAGGTGAAAGAGGGTGGGAAGGGTTGAAGGACTTGCTCAAAGTCTGCAGTGAATGTAAGGCAAGGACGTAAGGAGAACACTGTCCTCCAAATGTCAAACTCTAATTCAGAAGTAATCACAAACTTTTACACAACGAACAGGTGCTTCCTCATGCCAACTGACTGTGTATGACACCCTTTCTGAACTATTCTGTGGAAGCATCTGCTACTTAAATTGCTGGGCTTCATACATATACCTTTCCCGAGTGCAAAATAAAAATTAAAAAAAAAATACTCCTATGAGTCATACCCCAAATAATCCGGGGGAATAGGGAGGGGGAATCAGAGGACAAGATCACTGCTAGAAGCCAGGGGCCTCGGCTCAGGTTACCTCGCTGACCAGCTGTCCAGCCTTCTTGGCCTGTTCCAGATTGAGACTGCCCTCCGTCAGCCACCCCACGCCTTTCATCCATGCCAGGTCAGCTTTGTACTGCAGCTGCAAGAGAAACGCCACGCTTGAACAGATGCATGGGTGCGGACTGCGCAAAGTTGAGGGGAGAGTTAGGAAAATCCTTGCTCCTGCAGCATCTTCTTAGAGAAGTGGTTGGCAAACTGTGGCTCTTTGACCCCTTGAGGGTGGCTCTTCCACAAGATACCATGTGCGGGCGTGCACATACACTGCGATTGAAACTTTGTGGCCCATGCGCAGAAGTCAGTTTTCGACCTGGGTGAGTGAGTCTATTTTGAAGAAGTGGTATTAGAACACTTAAGGGGCCCAAGAGCCTCATGTGGCTCACGAGCCGCCGTTTGCTGACCACTATCCTAGAGGAACTGCTCCCTACTCCTTCATAATCGGCAGGACTCTGCCCAGGTAGGAAGGACACTTTGTAACCATGTTCTACGTTAGCACTGAAAGGTCATAACCTAACCAAAAAGTGGCCTTTTCAGGCTTTTTGATCAAGGACCTCATCTTTCAGTCTGCTCAGTTTCTGAGATTTACTTACCATTTTCAACATTTCATTCCTCTTCCCTCATCTTGACTTTTGTCATGGCTCTGGGCCCCTGTCCTGCATCCTCTAGTCTCCAATGTCTCCGTTAAAACTCTATCTCTACCTCCCCACCCCAACCCCCCTCAGGCCTGGTACATCTCCAGCAGTTCTTCCTGGTCCTTCTAGTTATGTAATAGACACGTGCTCAGGTTCACTCTCAAAGTGTCACTGTATCCCACTGTGAGAGCTGCATGGGAGACTGTCCATGAAGGGGGCTCACCTCGCTCTGGAGCCCGTAGGCTTTCTTGGCCCACTGTGTCTTCATATCTTCGGGCAGCACGGTGTATTCGTGTAGCTTTTTCCGGTAGTCCAGGTCACTGGCCAGAGCTTGGGCCTTCTTAGCGTGCCTGATGTTTACCATGTCCATGGGCAGGTGAAAGTGGGTCTTGCTCTCTTCAAAGCCTTTCTTGTATTCAACCTTGAATGTAACAAAACAAGGCCCATTACTCGAAGCCTGTGTTTGCAGGCATGATGTGGAAACACAGGAAAGAAGCCCAGGGTTTCGTGAGAAGTTGGCACTCTGGGCAATGGCATCCATCTGTCAGAAAAGCGGGACCCATTTCTGGCTCTGTAAGATGACAGTGCCGGGGAGCTGAGATTCCACACTACTTTGTCTCTGGGAGAAATGTCTCCTTCCAAGCCTAAATCATTTTATCTGGCTACCCCAGGAGGCAAACACTTTATCCATAGTTTCTATAGAAGCCTGAAAAGGTAGAATAACAAAGCTTAGGCTCCAGGGCCAGAGTAGCCTGAGTTCAAATCTGACCTGCCCTCTGCCAACTGGATGATTTCTGGAAAGTTACATCATCTCTCTAAGGGCTCATGTTCCTCGGGGAATTATTGTGATAAATCAACAAAATAGTAGGTGATACCTGCTTCATGCAGAGGCTGGCATATAGAAAACACTTGGTAAATGTTAGCAATGAGGCTGGCCATGACAGCGGGGATGGTGGTATTGACGATGGTGAAGATGGTGATGATGATAATTGTGACAATGATGGTAATGATGGCCCTAGTGATGATAATATCGTGGTGATGGTGATGTTGATAAAGGTGATGATGATGTTGGTAATGGGAAGGATGGTAATGATGGTGACAGTGAGGATGATAATGATGATGGTGACGTCGATAATGGTGATGATGATGTTGGTGATAGGAATGATGATGATAGTGATGGTGGTAATTATGGCAATGATGATAATGGTGATGATGCTGGTAGTGATAGTGTTGGTGATGACAATGATGTCAGTGATGGTGATGATAGTGGTGATGTTGATAATAGTGATCATATTGATGATAGGAATGGCGATGATGATGAGGATGGTACTAATGATGATAATGGTGATGGTGATGGTGATGGTGGTGATGATGGTGATGATGGTGTTGGTGATAATGGTGACGGTGATGATGGTGATGTTGGTGGTGATGGCACAGTGGTGGGGGAAGGTAGTGATCTACGGTAAAAAGAACATAGTGCCAGTAAGCAAGAGTTCTAGGATCTAGTTCTCTACCCTTCCACCAATATCACTGGCTACTATATGACCTCAGGCAAGACACAATCTTTTCAGCCCTAGATGTTCCAAATGCAAATATGAAATATCATTTTGTTCTCTATCTAAACCCAAAGCCAAATTCTCAATGTCTCTCTATATGTTCCACTTTAAAGGGCTTGTTATATAGGCACATCCAAAATGGTGACTCAGACACCAAACTTCTTACTCTGTTCAAGCCATGGCCCCTTAATGATTTACCAGGTAATTAGACCTGTCGGAGCCATCAGAGCACTGTCAGCTGGCCTCACAGCTTGGAGCAGGCAATCGTAAAGCAGAAACTTAAGTGTCCTTTCTAACTGTTCAGTATTGGCCGGAAAGACTTATTAGAAGCCACATCTGCCCCTTCTGGCAGAATTTACCTCCCCACAGGGTTTCAACAAATGACAATTTTACCACAGTTCATCTCCAGCCATTAACTACAGTTATTTACAAAGAAGCATCGTTTTGATTGGTTGGAGCCTAGATGCCCAGTTGTTTGCTAAATATTTTGAATATTATGTATATTTGTAACCACAGGATTCATCCAGGACATCACCACAATAATCAGGGTGCTTACTGTCTAACCCTCTCAGTAGAATTAAGCTCTGTCAGGGAAGAACCTGTTAGGCGTGCTCATTCTTATAGCCCAGGATCTTGCCCATAGTAGTTGTTTAGTAAACATTTGCAGAATCAGTAAATGAGGCTGAACACCTTTGTACCGTCACTAGGAGATCCTGGTCACTCACAGTAAACACACTACCCATCTATTTTAAAAGAATGCTTTGACAAACAAAAGAAATGGAACAGCCTGGCCGGTGTGGCTCAGTGGTTGAGCATCAATCCATGCACCAAGAGGTCACTTGTTCAATTCCCAGTCAGGTTCTATACTGAGCTTGCAGGCTCTATCCCCAGTAGGAGGCATTTAGGAGGCAGCTGATCAGTGATTCTCTCTCATTCTTGATGTTTCCATCTCCCTCTCCCTCTCCCTTTCTCTCTGAAATCAACAAAAATACATTTAAGAAAAAAGAAACGGCACAAACTTCTCACACAAGCCAGGAAAGAAGTCATAGGTGGGAGACAACAAAAAGTCCCAAGTGAAGGAGGCCCAGGAAAAACTTTAAAGTAATACAACTCTAAGTAAAGGATGGAGGGTAGAAAGGAATTTACCTCGCTGCTCATCTTGGCAACCTGCAGGGAGTGCAGAAGCCTAGAGTCCGTAGCTCCCATAGCTTTACCTTTGCTTTTTTCGTATTCTTCTTTGTATTTAATCTTGAGAGAAAGAAGAAAGTCTACTGTGAGGGAGAGAGAAACTTTGCCAGATCAGGGGTTCTGGTTTTAACAAGTGCAAGGGGAATAATTCTGCAAAAACACCTCACCGTCTTTTGCACCCAGAAGATTAAAGGATTGTGATGTTTGCCACGTTAACAGTCATTATTTTTTTTCTGCAGGACCACTGACATTTTATGGAAACAATTTCTTATGCATTTCCGAGTTAATGAGAGAAAAACCTACATTGCTAGCAAGCTCTCCGGAGGCTTTGGCGGCCAGCAGAGATATGGCATCCAGCTTCATTTCAAATCCTTTCCCCTTGGACTTTTCCCAGCCTTCTTTGTACTTAATCTGACAAACAAAGACAAGGGTGAATTAAGAGTCCCTATACATATTCCTGCCAAAAGCTGAAGAAAAACACACACACACAAACAAATAGCGAAGTTGGCGTCTTCATCTGTCTACAGACAAGAATCTTGGTGTTATTATCAAAAGCATCATAACAATTATTACAACAGTTCACTGATTCTTTAGCTGCTGAGCCATGCAGGGCAACGGTAATGGACAGGACAAAGAGAAGACCCATGTGCTCATCCTAGGTCTGGTGTTTTCTGATCATGTGACCCTGAGTAAATTACCTTTTTATGCCTCAGTTTATCATTTGCAAAAAGAATATCCTGTTCTGTGTCTCGGGATTGATGGAAGAATAAATTGGATGTAGTATATGAAAACAGATCTTAAGCTGGTAAAGTGCAACATAGATAGATATAAGGTGTTGATATTGGTGTTGCCACGGTAACAGTGCCTATTATTTTCTGGCCCTTTCCTGTGAGTCTTCTACTCATCAGCTCTAAGCTTTTGCATTGGGCTTGTGAGGCTCAGAGACATTAAGACCTCATGTAGGGACATGGGTTAAAAGTGGCAATGCTAGCATGTAACCTGGGTCTATTTGATATGAAAGCCCATGCCATTATGTGCCTATAATAAATACCTCCTGGGGGTATGACAATTTAATAACGCCATTGCTTCTCCCAGTGCCCAGCACAGAATACACATCAACAAATATTAGTTACTTTCTCTTTTCTTCTTTTCTCCCACAAATCCTCTCTAGAACGAGAAGCCTAATCACGGCCCATTTGGGACTCCAGGAAGAATCTGGTGATTAACATCGATCTTTAACTTAAAGTTTCTCCACACAGCAAAACTCCAGCTTGAAGTCACCCAGATGATGATAATGATGATGATGTGCATACTGTACACATGCTCATATTGTGAGAATGAAATTGCTAACATAAATTTACCCCCAATGAACTACCACGGACCATGATTCAAAATTATAATATGGTCGGTGCTGTCAGCGAACCCATCTCATGAGCAGAACAGTCCCGGCTCATTGGGTTTGATATCATCATGCTCACCTGTGGACATAACCTCCACCGCACTCTCTCCATGCTGCCTGCTTACCTCGCTGAAGAGCTCAGCGTTGGTTTTGGCCTTCACCAGTTGAGGTACATCCTGGGGCAGTGAGTAATTCAACTTGTTTTTCTCGTAGTCAGCACGGTAATTCACCTAATGGGTTTTAAATAAACCCACAAGGTAAATGCAAGATGTCTGGATGGGCAGAAGAATTCTGGAGAGAACTCTCCCTTTTCTACTTTCCCTTTAGACTCATAGCTGAGAAGGGGTTTCTGGAAAAGGCACCTGACAAGGAAGCCTACAATTTTGTGAATGTTTTTAATGAACAGGCTGAAGATGCCCAATGAAAAGTAAAACAACTCAGAGGCATTCAAAGTCATGAGCTTGCAAAGGCCTTCCCTGGGGCCATCTCAGCAGCTCTCCTTCGATGAACTTGTGAGGGGATGGAGCTTAGTTTTATTATCTCACTGCCGTGCAGAACATCTTGCGACATGCATGGTGGATACTCAAAGAGTATTACCAAATGCCTGCCCACATTGAAGAAAAGCAATCTTAAATCTCCAAGAGAGAGCCACCCAGACCTTATGTGATTTCCAGTGGAAGAATACAGCATCCTCTGAGGCACAGTCTTGCCCCCAAATTAAACCTGAACCTGACCGAGTCTATAGACCCAACCACTATTTCATAGGACAAGTGAAGGCTGGAGGAACATGTGAAATCCACACTGGGATGCAGTTGGCAAAACTCAGACTGTGGGAAATCCTTCAGGATAAACAATCCAGTCTCTTCAATAGACAACTTGCGAGAAAAGAGGAGAGATTTAAAAAACAAAAAAACAAAAAAAAACACTTAAAGATAAAAAGTCTTAAAGACATATCAACCAATCACAAGATGTGGACCTTATTTGACTTTAATTCAAAAAAACTATTTAAAAAAAGTATAACCTTTTTTTAAATAACTGGAATGTTGAATACTAATTAACACTAGTGATATTAAGAATTATTAATTTGAGGTGTGATATATAAAAAACGCATAAGTATGTTTTAAAATTTTTTCATCTTTTAGAGATTCATATTGAAATACTTAAAGAGTAAATATGATACCTGGGATTTTTTTAAAATAACATGAGAGGGGAAGGGAGTGGATGGGCATAATGATAAAGTGAGACAGGCCATGAGTTGATGGTGAAGCTAGGTGATGGGCCATGGGGATTCTTTACACTATTCTTTTTGCTTCTGAATGTATTTGAAATTTGTCAAGAGAGGGTCATTTCATAGCTGTCATAAGACAAATGTCACCATTCATGAAAGTCACATCCTTGGGAGCCCGATATCCAGAGGCCACCCAGCAATCACAAGTCCCCCACCTCCAGCTGGGCGTGTCGGGTCACTTACATGACTCAGCTGCTGGGCGTTGATTTTGGCTTGGACAATCTGAGGGGTGTTAGTCACAGAGCTGTACTTCAACTTGTCAATGCTTTGCCTGTAGTTGACCTGGGTACAACGAGGCACAGGAAGATGTCACTCGCGCTCGTCTCTAAGACCTGCTTAGCCCCGTCTGCCTAAGCCCAGCAGAGCTGCGATTCTCAAATGACTAGAAAGAGAACCAAAGATTCCAACCAGAGACAACAAACATTCCGAGCGCACCTGAGCCTTTCCAGACTCAGACTCCATGTTGGCCCTTTAGTCAGCTGGGCTCTGGATCTGATCACCCACCCCACTAACAGTCATCATGCCTCTGCTGTATTTTTGTTAGTTAATCCTCACCTGAGGATACTTTTCCATTGTTTTTTATACTTTTTATAGAAAGAGAGAGAGAAAGAGAGAGAGAGAGAGAGAGAAACATCCATGTGAGAGAGACACATCAATTGATTGCCTCCCCCACACACCCCAACCAAGGCCATGGATTGAGCTTGTAACCAAAGTACATGCCCTTGGCCAGAATCGAACCTAGGACCTTCAGTCTGCAGGCCAATGCTCTATCCTCTGAGCCAAACCGGTTAGGGTATGCCTCTGTTTTATTGCCTAAAGCCCAGGACCCCACCCAGCACCCCACACACTGTTATAAGCTTTTTTAGGCCTAGGTTCAAAAGAAAATTTTTTGCACATTCTGAGTTTGTGACATGGGGTATGTAGGGAAAACTAGAAAATATAAATTCATTTCAATGTCAACTATTAATGAGATTAAAGTGGCTTCTTAATGCATTAATTCAGAGGGAAAAATTATCGTCTCATAATGAGGTGTCTAATAGAATTCAGAATTATGCATGATAAAAGGTCACAAGAACTATATTTATAAAATGGCATATTCCTTCCTGATAACTCTGCATTGTATGAAGGACATAACTGACAGTCTCCATGATTAACCACACCTTAGCCACATGTGGTTAATCACGTTAATAGTCACAGATGCTTGGCCATTGCTTCAGTTTTCTCCCTGAAGGGGCTCTTGGCTGAGCACCGTCTCATTGTCATGCTCTTAGTGTTTATAAACCCCATCTACAGGGAACCCTCTCTAACCAAGGGTTGTACCTGTTCAATTTCAAAGCTGTCTGAGCACCTTTAACAACTACCAAACAGAAAGGGAGGCCACAAATGTGCTTGTAATGGATCCCCCAAACTTCCTGAACACCAAAGCCCCTGCATTAGGGGGTAAACTCAAAATCACAGGGAGCCAAGAAAGTAAGAGGAATGTGATGACAGAGAGCAGCTGCCACACTGTCCTAGCCAAGCACTGCCATGCAGGAATTAGGGCCACAGTTATATATTATATTATATTATATTATATTATATTATATTATATTATATTATATTATATATATATATCTCTCTTACATAAATTACTATATTATGTATTACATATTATATATATTATATATTATACATTATATATTAATATATTATGTCATATTAATGTATATAATTTATAATATATATATATATATCTTACATAAATTTCTATATATTGGTTCAATTTTTTTTAAATACTCTGTGGCCAAATACAACATCTCTATATATTGGCTGAAAGCCTCTTTCATCCATTAAACTATCATTTGCCAATGATTATCCTCCATTGTCCTGCAAACTGTGCCAGACACTAGAGATACCTACCACAGCCAACACTGCTCCTCATCTGAGCAAAAGACACAGTGACATACAGACCTATCTACCAATCGCAAAACCCAAGTCAGCTACTGATCCCAAAGGAATGTGCAGAAAAGCAGCACTGACCATTTACTAAATATATGTTGAATTATTTGTTAAGTGATTGACTGATTTATGATAACCTTTGCTGACAAGTAACTGTGATACCAATTCAATTCTAAACCATCTTAAGTACTTTTTAAGATAGGACACGACTTTTGTCTTTTTTTTTTTTTTTGTACTTTTCTGTATTTTCTAAATTTTCTGTAATAAACATGTAAAATTCTTATAATTAGAAAATAATAAATTTAATGAATTATGCATGTTTTATTTGGGGCTAGCCAAACTATAAAGAAATAAAAATTACTGATGTAATATGAGTTATATATTATTCCGCACGTATTTCCCAAGTGCTACTAAGAAAAAAAACAACTGAGTTACCATTACCACTTTCTCACAACTTATAGACACTTTATTTTATTTCCTCTAGTCCTTTAACATACCACACTCCTAAACTTAAAAAAATAAATAAATAAATAAAAATAAATAAATAAATAAAAAGGGTCATCATTGCTAAGGAACAATTACTTAATGTGTCCAGCAGGGGACAGTCCACCAAATTCTAACAGGAGAAATTGAACCTCAGGCTATTTTCAAGACAAAATGAGAGTTGTCCTCATCTTATATTGAAAAACCTAAGAGTTTTCTTAGCCCTGGTTGGGTAGCTCAGTTGGTTAATGCATCATTTTTTGATATGCCAACATTGTGGGTTTGACCAGTGCAAAAATGATATTTCTCTCTCTCTCTCTCTCTCTCTCTCTCTCTCTCTCTCTCTCTCTCTCTCCCTCTTTCTCTCTCTCTCTCTCAACTCAATAAAATAAAATGAGAACTAAGAGTCTCCAAACATGCATAAATGGACTTCCTACTGAAAAAGAGGGCCCCTTTCTCATTTCCTTTTTCATTTCCTATATATCTTGTTTCTGTTTATCTTGCTGCCTAAGAATCACTCCACAGGAGAAAAGCAACAAGAGCAGGAAGAGCTATTGGAAGAGGACTTACATCTTTCAAGGGAACCTGTTTCATGACTGTTTGATAGGAAGGAGTGAGAGTGGCTGGGTAGTTGTAGTCAACCACATCGTGTTTATAATCCTCTTTGTAGGCAATCTGAAACACGAAGAAAAGAGCAAGAAAAGAGAAATTAGCCTCTATATATTTTTTTACCTTGTTTTAATGTCATAGGAAGTATTTTAAAAGGTAATGGGGTGGAGGGGGGAGTAACCAGAAACAAAATTAATTAAGTTTCATCACCTCCAAGGAAAATTAAATTATGTTCACACTTTTGCCTTCAATTAATTTGAATTCTTCCTCTTAATTAAGCCAAAATTCATTAACTTCCATCTGTAGCACATTTATTTTATCTTATTAAATATGGAACCCCTTGTAATTTTTGTTAATAAGAAGTATTTGCTCATGAATATACAATAGAAGAGCTTCTTCCAGAAAATAAATGAAAAGTCAAGAGTCTTAAGAGTGCTTTCAATTTTTTCCCCTAAAGATCAAATTTGACATTCTCAAGCAGAGGATATTTGACATTTCTATGTTTTAATAGTAAAATTGATAAGATTTATAACTTGGCATTTGCAAACCTATGAACTGAATTGACAAAGCCAAAGACAAATTAATAGACTTCAGGCTATGGTGAAAACAGGGACCTGATCTACTTTGAAGACCAGTGCCTTCAATGAACAGAAGGTCTTCAGTGAACACCATGATGGAATAAATGAATGAACCAATCAACCAAGCATCCAACTGACCAACAAATTTCATAGCAGGAATTTCAAATAAAAATTATGCTCATCCACTTCTCTTTATCGCTCAGAAATTGAAAGTTTTTCTCACACTGGATCAATTACAATGGATCTGACTACTCTTCAAACCAGAGGAAGCTGAGATGAGTCCTAGTTAATTGAGGTTATTGAAAATGTCAATGGATTTTTATCTAGCCTTGGCTGTATCAGTTCATGTTTAGAGACTTATGGGTCGGCCTTTACCCAACAGAACACTAATTTTTCAAAAGAGAAGCTGAAAAGAATTGGCTTAATTCTTCATGCCCCACTTCCTTCCACTCCAACTGACCCCCAGGACCGCCGGGCCCCTCACACAAGGACTCACATTGCTGGCCAGACTTCCAACTTTCATCGCATGGAGAGTCCGTCTGTCCATACCCACTCCTTCATAGTGGCCTCTCATGTGGTTCTGGTAGTTTTCTTTATATTTATTCTGCAGGGGATCACAAAACTTTCAACAAAAGCATTCTCTTTCCAACATGTTCAAAATTAACTCCTCTTAATGGACAAAATTGAAAATATAAATGATTAAAGACAAGCCATTTAAGTAGTCAGTGTTTCACTGAATAGCAAGTAAGACACACCTTTAAAAAAAAATTAAACAACTGAAGTTTCAAGCAAGGACAAGAAGTTGGAATGGGGCAAGCACACAGCAGGCAAGAAAACATAAAATCTGATGGGCACAGACAGCACAAAACATACCTGACTTTTAAAAAGTATTTTCAATTGTATTTATACCAGACCTTTTTCAATGTGCAAACCTACTGTGAGAGCATGGAGCTCTCCAATGGGCAAGCCCTGATTGTGTGCGATGTCCCGTGCTGGGGGCTAGTACAAATCACTGCAGGCTACTACCTCCAGTTCTAAATAGATGAAGGATGAAACTTGAGCTCTGTCAAATTCTACAAACTTTTCATCACAGATTGGTCATTATTACAACCATGTGAAATAATAATATTGTAAATGCAGCTTACCAAATAATGAGAACCAAAATGGGATGATAAGAAGCCATAAGTAGCTGAAACCGGTTTGGCTCAGTGGATAGAGCATCAGCCTGCAGACCGAAAGGTCCTGGGTTCGATTCCAGTCAAGGGCATGTACCTTGGTTGCGGACACATCCCCAGTAGGGGGTGTGCAAGAGGCAGCTGATCGATGTTGATGTTTCTCTCTCATCGATGTTTCTAACTCTCTCTCTCTCTCTTCCTCTCTGTAAAAACTCAATAAAATATATTAAATTAAAAAAAAGAACCATAAATAGGAAAATCTGGGTAGCATCTAATGAAGCTACATTAACACAACCTGCCCTGGGAGGCCATTGAGTTATTAGGCACTGAGAGTATTTAAAAGAATAATGTTACTGTATATCAAGACAGATATAAGTATATATCTACTTATCTCAGTTGATCTCACTCTGAGGACAGGAATTGTCATCATCCCGATTTTACAATGGGCAACGTGGCTGAAGGCTTAATCAATTTGCCCAAAGTTGGCCACTTGGCTAATTGTAAAACCAGGTCTGTCAGCTCCAAAGCTGGTGTTCTTCACCACTAATTTATGAAAAATAAATTCCTCGTCGAGCCTTACAAAGTCCTGAGTGACTTTAAATTCTGCTAGGATGCATAGCTAAACAGAAGTCAATTCACATAATCTAGTGTAGATTATGTTCCCCAAGATTCATCCCCAGACCTTCTCTGAGGATCTCCAAATTTGCAAATGCCACTCCAGCAGACAGCTGCTTATCTGTCACCTGGGGAAATAATATCTGTCTCCCCAGGTGACTCTGCAGGTCAAACGAGAGCAGGGATTAACACCTTCCTGACTGGTCAGGAGATAACTGGTGTCTGAATTTACATTAATCTAAGTCATTTTAATCTTTCAGAGTTTTAAAATGACTTAAATTAATATAAATGCAGACACACGTTATCTCATGACCGTGACCGGTGTTAAGAAGCACAAATTTTCATTGGGAGAAGATGTTGCATGCTCTGCTCACCAGCATTCGCCTCTAGATACCAGATACCGCCATACACAAAGGATGCAAGAGGACAGGCAGGCACTGCCCTGAGCACTCAAGGTCAAGTATGCATTGGAAGGTGTAAAAGAATTTAACACTACACGGACCCGTCCCAGCAATCTCAATCAAACCTGTTAGGTATCTGTGCTTAAAAGGCCATGCTTTCCCAAGACACTTAAGTACATTCACATAGACTGTCTCTTAGGAGACCCCAAAATGCTTAGGCATGAAAAACTCACATCACTGGTGAATTTTGAGATCTTGCTCACGTTCCTGAATTGAGGTGTTTCACAGTAGTTGATACTGTGACCTTTACTACTTTCGTGTTCCTTCTTATACTCCACCTTAGAAACCAAAACACCACTTGCATAATAGAACCAAACCCGAAGTCACTCTTGAATATGTCACCAGGATATTTTTAGAAAACTTTCAGTCCAAGGTTTAAAAATACCAGGCCCAGCATACTCTTAAGTTAATAATACAGATTTTTCCTTTCAAGGAATAAATAAGTGATAATCAATTTGGTTCTAAACATTAAAAACATACAATCTCTTTCAAGAATAAATACTATGAGATTTCATACCGTTTAAAAATGGCAGAAGTGGTTTTAGGAATTAAGACAGTGGTTACTACTGGGGATGCGTGTCTGGGAGGACAGACAGAGAGAGGGGTGCCTGGACTTTAGTTATGTTCTGTATCTTGATATGGGCACTGGTTACACAGATGTGTTCCCTAGTGAGAATCCTTCCTGTTTCACTTAATGATATATGCACTTCTCTGTAGGTATGCATCAATAAAATACAACCTAAAACATTATTTTACAAAGGCATAGATTAATACGACCATAGATACATAGAGTGTCTTCTCATTGTAAATGGGCTGGTTAGCTGAGCTCCCCTGGGTAGCTGGGTGTAAAATATGAGGCTACAGTTATTAAATAGACTCCAGGTCACTGGAGAAGGAGCTGACGGTGGTGCCACTAATAAAGGCATGGCTGGCTTACCTCACTTGATAAACATGAGGGCAAAAAGAAACCGAAGGCTCCCTTGCGACCTCTTACCAAAGGAAATACAGTTTGTTATCCTATTTTATTAAATTCTAGAGGCTCTATGCATGAAATTCGTGCATTCAGGGGCGTCCCTCAGCCTGGCCTACACCTTCTCACAGTCCGGGAGCCCTTGGGGGATATCCGACTGATGGCTTAGGCCCACTCCCCAGGGGAATCAGACCTCGTTAAGGCTGCTGCAGAGGTGAGAGAGGCTCTCGCCACCACTGTTGTGCTTGCCAGCTGTGAGCCCCACTTCTGGCTGAGCATTGTTCCCCTTATAGGAGTGCATTGACCACCAGGGAGCAGCTCCTGCATTGAGCATCTGCTCCCTGGTGGTCAGTGCATGTCATAGCTTGGTCATTCTGTTATTTGGTCTATTTGCATTTTAGCCTTTTCTTATATAGGATAGGGTGACAATACGCCTTCTAAAGTATGCAAGATGCTGATGCTCACAATAGGATATAAAATTAAAAAGTACACCTGAATTCTAATTCTGAAACTATATGTTCTTACTTTCATGTATTTGTTTATAAATTATTCACATAGAAAAAAGTCAAAATGGTAACAACGTTGTTCCTGGATGGCAAAACCATGCAGTTGGCCTTCCAGTTCCAGTTCTGTCCCTGAAAATCTCTTTGCACCAGAATGGGACACTTCACTTTTCTGGGCTATGACAAAGGAGAGGCCTGGAGGCTGTAAAGGTCCCACCCAGATCGAACACCCTGTGACCAGTCCTGGTTCAGTGGTTGAGCAGCGACCTATGAACCAGGAGGTCATGTTTAGATTCCCGGTCATGGTCAGGGCACATGCCCAGGACAGAAACCAATCAATGATTATCTCTCATCATTGATGATTCTCTTTCTCTCCCTCTCCCTTCCTCTCTGAAATCAATAAAAATGTATTTTAAAAAGAAAAAAAGAGAGCAAGGTTCAGCAAGCATTCTTATAGCAATCTTCCCTTCTGTGACATGTTGCCAATTCAAATGCCTTTAGGGTCCAGATAGGTAATGCAAATGAGACTCTGGGTTTTAAAAAAGACTTGGGGAACTAGAGGGGAGGTTTCCAACGAGTCCTAACAGTTCTAAATATCTTAATCCCTGGGTAGGACCAACAAAACACCCTCTGGCAGCCTCCAAGATAAGGTGATTCATGGAGTAACCACAATTTCTTGAGAACTAGACTACAATGATGAGAGAATGGGGAAGGTTCAAGTTCAAGCCACTTCTTGTTCCTTGATTCCCATTCTAAGATGATGACATCTATTTATAAAGATTAGCTCACCCAATATTCCGGCAACTAGAAATCTACTGCCTGGAACTTGTGAATAGCTCAGCCCTATAAGAATTCAGGGAGAAGCTTTGGAGCCATCGGAAAATTGAACTTGGTATTTAGTGAATGGGTTTTGTTCTGGGCTGGCCTGAGAATTGCTTTCACTGCACGTTTGTTCTTTGGGAACTGGCAGCCCAGGGGCAGTGTATGTGGCTTTCCATGGAGTTTTTTTCTGGGGTTGCTTTTTCGCTGCCTTGATGGGGGTTAAAGGGAGTGAGAGCTAGCAGAAGCCACTGTCCCCCATACGTACCTCGCTCACAAGTTTGTTCACGCTCTGAGCCCGCTTCAGAACCAAGTTGTCCTGGGCTGGGAGGGAGTGGAACTGAGCAGCGCCTTTCATCCTGTTGAAGTCCTGCCTGTATTTTATCTGAAAGACACACACCAAGAGGGTCCAGGGTTTCTGTCTTCATGCTCCATGGCAGAACTCACCCTCAAATGACCACACACTTAATGTCAACATTCACTTCACAGAACTTCCTGAAGGACTAATATCATATGTGTTGGTTATTTTTTTTTCTCCATACAACCCACATACCACTCAGTCCCTTTTGTATTCAAATGTTATTGGCTCGGGTCATTTTTATTTGGTGCACTGTCAGTACTTTGTGGAAAGTGGCTCATTTTCACACCCTAGAAATACTCTATAAATTTTCTATCTATGTATGTAATGTAACTGTAAATTGAAATAAACAGGATCACATTTGTAAATAAGTTGAATCAGAATAAAAGCATGAAGAATTTCACTAAAAAATAAAAGTTACTGGCCCTTTTCACACTTTGAACTCTAATTCTGCATTAAAAAAAAAAAAAAAAAAAAAAAAAAAAAAGGTGTAGTCCCAAACCCCATCTGCCCTCGGTTTCAAAGTCATTTCTCATCGTGTCTGCTGAGGAGGGGCAGAGAGATGAATGCCTCTTTCTATTTCCTCTGGGGGTCAAAGTGCACTGCTCTGGATCAATGGGTTTATTAACTGAATAGTAACTGAATAATGAAGAAGGGCAAAGGGATGTGAACTGAATGCCTGGCTTCCAATTATAGACCAAGTTCAAGTTGGTGCCTTAGTTCTAAAGAGTGTGTGTGTCACTTTTCCAAGTTTAATTATAGCCTGCCTCTCAAGGACCGCCAACTGGCCAACCTTTTGCAAATAAAAATCATTTTATCACCTGGGCTACACCCAGTCTGATAATCATATGACTTTTCTAATCAGCTATTAAAAGTGCTCAGTTTCTAAATGGGTTATTTTGCAAAGAGTGTCCTAGCTCCAGCATATCTGCCTGGGCCAGCAGTTGCACTGACTTCAGCTGACCTAAAGTGAGGTATGCCATTTGTCCAAATCCATCTCCTTTGAAGCAGATATAGGGGACCACAAAAGCAGTGGATGCAGAAATCTGGATAGAAATTGAAGGCTAGCAATCTATTTTGGCTCGGCTCTAATAAATGTGTCCTCCGTGTGTAGGTTTCAGTAAGCACAGCTTCAGTCTCACTTCTCCTCTGCTTCTGTGGATCTGCCGGTGGTCCCAACGTGGTACTTACATCACTAGCGAGTTGGTGGGCTTTCTTGGCGTTCTGATAAGCTGGGGTGATCATGGCAGGGAAGCTGCCCTTGCCTCTGTGCTGGTCATAGTCCTCCAAGTAGCCCTGTTGAGTTGATGAAAAACTTCCATCAGTAACGTCCCCCTCCCTGCATGGGTGGGGAATGAGCAACGATCTTTCCAAGACTCTGTTCCCACATTGGACATTCCAGTGATCTCCCCAGGAGTGGTACCACCATGTGGTTGTGAAGGTAGCAGACGGTGGAGTCAGCACTGCCTCCTGGGTAGTGGTGACTATTCACATTATCATCATAGTCATTTCCTCCACATAAATCAAGACACTCTCCCAGTCTCCCAGGCCCTTGGAGAATGGAAAATTCCTCTCTGAGTGGATGCCAGGAAAGCCCTCCTGTCTTCCAAGAGCCCTGAATGCTACCTTTCTCAGGCCCCCATTTAGAACAAAATCATTTTTGCCAAATATGGATTTTTTCAAACCTGAACCTTCTCCACAACATATTTGTTGTCCTGAACCTTCTCCACAACATATTTAAAACATGAAATAAAAAAATAAAAAAGTATTCTCACTGAGTTTAATGCACTCAGAGACCATTTAACTAACTTATTGTGGAAGTTCATAAAATGGCCTTTTTAATTCAAAACCAAGTATTTTTGCTCAGGCAGACATTTGCAATTGAGTTGCAAACTATCTTCACATGATTGTACCCACACATGGGCAACTTGTTTCTCTGAAGGAGAGAAATAAGTTATTTGCTATATTTTATAAATTATGTTGAATGAGTCTTTTATGTTGTAGAATCTACTTACTGCCAAAATTTCACACAACTGCCCAATTAAGAAGAAAATATTAACTAAGCTCATCGAATGTACTCTTCTAGTGCACGCAATTGGTCTTCCAATGTTCTTTACTTACAGCACTGAAAAAATAATGTTCTCTTTCTCAAACCCTGTGACACCCATCTATAATAGACCAGAAAATAGGGATGTGCAAATAAAAAGTAGCTTGTAATTGTCACCTCAACCTTTTTACACCCTCTCAGGTATAGTTCATTTAAGAAGTAAAACTGGGAAAAGGTTTGCATTCTCTGGAATGTCGCTTTATCTAGCCACCAGATAAGAAACTCCACTTTCTAAGAAAATGAGCCCTGCTGCTAGGTGAATTGCTAAATATTTTTCAAGGCACATATTTTGATCCCCTTTGTGCTTATTCAATACTGGGTTCACAGTAGCCAGTCCTGTCCTGGCTGGTGTGGCTCAGTCGGTTGGGTATCGTTCCAGGCACCAAAAGGTTGCCAGTTCAATTCAGGGCACATGCCTGGGTTGCATGCTCGATCCTCTGTAAGGGGCATGCAGGAGGCAGCTGATCATATTGATGTTTCTCTCCCTCTCTCTTCCTCTCTTCTCTTTTTTAAAATAAATATATATATATATATATATATATATATATATATATATATATTTTTTTTTTTTTTTTTTTTTTTTTTTTTTAAAGAAGCCAGTTTCAGTCCTTGAGACTGGGAATAGATGAGAATGCAAGTGGTACAAGATGACCCCTATGTAATTACTTGCCTACTACTTTCTGGCTTTGAAAATCCACCTTTCATAAATAGAGCAAAGATACACCATGGCCCAAACTCTGATGGAATGGCCATGGCTGTGTCCCAGGCTACATAACTGACCATCACTAAGGGCCATTCTCCTAGAAAGTCATTTTATCACATACCTGACCACACTGGTCCACGTAGTCCCTCACCAATGTGCCCTCGGCTGCCATGGCTGAGCCAGCCATTCCCTTCATTTCTCTTTGGTATTGTTGGTGGTATCTCACCTGTTTGAAGGGAAAGGACAAACCTGGTAAATTCAGCCTCCTCTGCACAGAGGCCAGAAGTGTAAACCTAAATGGCTGTGGAATGTTCTTTTTGGGTCCTGGGAGTGTGCTTGGACATAAAGTGCCAGATGGTAGTGACGTTGATGGACAACCATGAAGAAAAGCTACTTCTTGGATCCAGAGCACATGCAAAAGGAGACAGGAAGTTGGACTTATCAGGCCCAGGTAACTTCCTGTTTTCTCCCCTAGAAGGACACCGTTGCTGGGGACACTCACATCACTCGCCAGCTCATTGGCCCTTTTGGCTATCTGATAAGCAGGTGTGATCATAGCAGGAAAACTGCCTTTGCCTCTCTGCTGTTCAGAGTCACCGTTGCTGGGGACACTCACATCACTCGCCAGCTCATTGGCCCTTTTGGCTATCTGATAAGCAGGTGTGATCATAGCAGGAAAACTGCCTTTGCCTCTCTGCTGTTCAGTGTAGATCATCTGGAAAACGAAAACAAACTTTGAATTGTGTGTCACCGTCCCACTATCTACCAGGCATTCAGGGTGGGAAGCCTTGCTAAGGACTCCTGGAACACCCCAAAACCCCCTATTCACAGCTGTTATAGCGGGATGAGCCTCGTGCATCTTATCTACCTTTTTATTCTCAATACTTGGCACAGTGCCTGGCACATGAAACTCAATGTAGAATTCGACATATGTGTGTTCAGCACCTGGTGTGAGCCAGGTGAAGGGCTGGGCAGAGAAATACGGCTTCTGCCTTTCATGAGCTGCCAGTCAAGTCTGGGAGACAAGAGAGGCTCCTCACCCCAAGGCAAATGAAGACACTTGTTCAGCTGAACTTGAACTTGTGTTTAAGCTTCCCACTCAGAACGAGAGTGAGTTCTTGATCTTATCCTATGGAGCAACTCGGCTATGAAAAGTGGTAGAAATTCTTCAGAAGTTGTGGTCTATACTTGTCAGTGACAAGGAGAGAATACAAAATGAATTCTTTCAGATTCAGCAGGTATGTCTGACTTGTCACTACAAGTTTTCTCTCTAAACATGAGTTTTCACAAGGTCTATGTGAGCTGACTTATCTGGTCCGACCATACTTGACCTTAGGAAGTTTCCCTGTTCCCTGTGTAGGACTGACATGCCTCCCACATTCCCCCTCCCCTCCTTCTCCAAGTAAGGAAAGAATGGGGAGTCATAAATGAGAATCACGGACTCTCCACTGTCATCATTTCTTACATCATTTTGAAGCTGTCCCCCAGCCCTAGCCCGTAGCAGCTCAGGAGTGTCCGCCACTGTGGTGAACCTGGAGACTCGCTCATCGTGCCCTCTCTTGTATTCCACCTGAGGAGACAGTAGAGGGTCAAGGTCAAACACACTGGTCTTTGTGAAAACCTCTCCTTGGAGCTCTCCAGAAGGTACACCTTGGGGCTACTGTGAACACACACCTGGGGTGAGTCTGGATGGCTTGCCTCATGAGCTCCATTTCAAAAAGCAATGATGCTAATAGGAAAAGTCCAAGAGAGAGTACGGAGCACTGCTAGAATTAGCAAATGCTAACCCCCTTCATTACTTTATTTTACATAACAGTAGCTGAGGCATAGAGAGGTTAAGTAATTTGCTCATGGTCACACAGCCAGCGAGAGAGCCAGGATTCAAATGCCAGCATTCTGGCTCCAAAATCTGAGGTCTTAAACAGCAAGCTATGCTATTCTTCAGGAGGTCTGCTATCTGCTTAAAAAGAACCAGTGTCCTTTATGCTAAAGTGACCTCAAGAACTTATTTGGCCCAGTTTTGGGGTGAGACACATGGTCTTCCCTCCATTTGATGGATGTGCCCCCCCCTATCAGTGATAGGGGGGAGACAAGAACACAGTTGTCTCCATACCACCACACTAACGGTGCCTCTGTCCAAAAAGCACTGTCTCATTGAATGTTATCTGAATCCTGTGGGTACAGTAAGAACAAAAATTAGCATAATTAATAGTGACTAAGCACGAACACACTCACTTGGCTGGCCAGCTGGCTGGCTCTCTTGGCCCTTTGATAAGCAGGTGTGATCATGGCTGGGAAGCTCCCTTTGCCCCTCGGTTGCTCATAGTCTTCTGTGTACTCCTGCTGGTCAGAACCAAGGTCAGCATGAGAACCATTATGATTCCGGATGAGAACTAATAAAATGGCAATAGCAAGCATCATCAGAACCAATGTAACTGGATTTATAAAGTACCCAGAAAATAATGCAGCCACCTGGGATATTATCCGAAAATGTTATCCACATTCTGGGAACTATTATTCACAAATGAATCACACACCTTCAAATAATATCCCCCAGGTAAAATACTTTCCCCCTTCCATGCTGACATCATATTATGTGGAACCTGACACACCTCAACGAGTATGTCTTTGATTCAAAGGCATGTCTGATCATAGACCCATTAATATGCAGGAGATTTTCCTTAACGTGTCCACTAGAGACAGTTCGACAGCAAGCAGGTCTCTCTTACAGTGCTGGTGGTCAGAAACCTAGGCCTCAGGGCTGTTCCTTCTGGAGGCTCTGGGGAGAACCTATTTCCTGGCCTTTTTCAGCTTCCAGAGGCTGCCAGCATTCCTTGGCTCTGGCTCCAAAGGGCCTTGACCTCTGCTTTTGTTGTCATGTCACCTCTTTTCTGACTCTGACCCTCCTGCCTCCCTCCGTATAAGGACCCAAGTGATTACACTGCAGCCACCCTAATAATCCAGGATAATCTTCCAATCCCAAAATCCTTAAGTTATTCACATCCACAAGGTCCCTTTGGATATGTAACATAGGCACTAGGTTCCAGTTATTAGTGGATCTTTGGGGGAGGGGCCAGTACTCTGTCTACCACACTTTAAAATAAGGGAACATTCAAACAAATGGCTAGAATAATTTCTAGGGCCCTTACCTCACCAAGAGACTTCCGAGCCTCAACCATCCTTACGATTTCAGGGTCTGGCAGAGCTCCTGGGCACCAAGCATTCCCTTCCCCGTATCCAGTCCAATAGGGTCTCTAAAAAGGAAACACACAAATGCATACAAACACCCCTCACGCGCATTTAGTAAGTAAAATCCCCCCCTACCAGGCCACCCTCCCAGGAATGCTCACACTCATCGTCAACATCAGAGAGAAGTTCTCTAAAAACTACACCCTCCTAATGGTATATGGCAGGTCTCAGCTAAGCAAAATGTTCATTTTTTTCAACTAAAAAAGTAACCTAATGTCCTAAGCCCGCGGATGGCAAACTACGGCCAGGGAGCCACAGGCAGCTCTTTGGCCCCTCGCGTGTGGCTCTTCCACAAAATACCACGGCGAGTCTATTTTGAAGAAGTGGCGTTAGAAGAAGTTTAACTTTAAAAAATTCGGCTCTCAAAAGAAGTTTCAATCATTGTACTGTTGATATTTGGCTCTGTTGACTAATGAGTTTGCCGACCACTGTCCCAAGCAATTGAACTTATATCATAGAAGAGTTCCAGAAGGTAACTGGACAGTTGGATGTACAAACTGGATAAAAGGAACCTAACTGAGTTTGTCTGGCAGTAATGAAAATGCATCTCATTTGCATAGGGTGTCATCCAGTTCTGTTTCCAAACCCATTCATAACTCACCTCGTTCCCCAACGGTGGCTCATTAGAGGTGGTTACCCCATCCTTGGATTCCATGTCCCACTGAAACACCGATTTAAACCTTCCACCATCTTCTTGCTCATCAACCTACCAATGAAGATGCTGTCAGTAATGTTTCCATCGAGAAAAAAAAAAGGAAGAAAATAATCTACAGCTGAATTGGGAGGATTTTCCTAAGTCTCAACGGGGCCGCATCTTCACTGCACAACAACACACGGTGCTGCCAGTCTCCTCGTGGTTCAGCTGTTCCCCGAGATGGGCAGCATGTATGGAGCACCTGCTGTGTGCAAAGCTCACTTCAGTGGTGCAGCTACAAGGACTTCAAGTCTCCGTGAGCTTATTACACAATGAGAATTCAGGTTAAATTAACCTCAGTAAACACTAGACATTAGAGTAGCAATTCTTAACTTAGTTTGTGCAACAGTTATCCAGGGAGCTTGCAAAAATGCTGGCTCCTCAAATTCAAGTACATGTTCTCTTAATGTTTTATAATTTTACCTTTAGCATCTTGATCCATAGTTAATCTTTGTGCATGAATGTGAAGTAGGTAAAGGTTCATTTTTTTTCCCCATGCAAATATCCTATCCCTCTCTCACCATTTATTTAAAGATCATTCTTGTTACACTGAATTGCAGTGGTGCCTGTGTTGTAATTCGAGTGACTATACATGAGAAGTTCTATTTCCGGACCTTGGATTATATGCTACTGGACTATTTGTTCTTATGCCAATACGACACTGAGTTGATTACTACTACTTTTGTTGTAAGTCTTAAAATCTGGTAACCTAAGTCCTTCAATTTTGTTTTTCATGATTTCTTGACCATTCTAGAATTTCTGTATGTTCATATCAATTTTAAAATTAGTTAATGAATTTCCATGAACTTAGGATTTGGGGATTGCAATGAATGTATAGGTCAATTTGGGAGTAGGCATCTCAACAATAGCTCTGTGACCATAAAATAGACAAAAGATTGCTCAAAGAGAATGTAAAAAGGACTAACCTGCCCTAACTGGTTTGGCTCAGTGGATAGAGCATCAGCCTACCGACTCAAGTGTTCCAGGTTCGATTCCAGTCAAGGGCATGTACCTTGGTTGCAGGCACATCCCCAATAGGGGGTGTGCAGGAGGCAGCTAATTGATGTCTCTCTCTCATTGATGTTTCTAACTCTCTATCACTCTCCCTTCCTCTCTGTAAAAAATCAATAATATATATATATATATATATATATATATATATATATATATATATATATATATTAAATAAAAAGGACCCCATAAAAAAAATCCAAAGGTTTTAGGTCTAAACCCAAATATCATGATTTATGTTGTTTAAAATGGGGCCCCAAAACCTGCAATATTAACAAGCTAAAGTTTAACCATTAGTTTTGTAGATGAGGTAGGTCTGGGGGAAAAAGTGAACTCACTAACATTGTTCAGTGGGTTGTCAGAGCCAGGTGTAGAGCACAGGAATTCTAGTTCCTCATCGAGGCACTTTCCACCATTGACTTTCTAGGCTTGACAACGCAGCTCACATATGTATATTTTAAAGTATGTAAATTGAGAGGTTTTACATGCTTTCCCCCTTGCATTTTAGAAGCTACCACGAAGGCTACATAACAAAGGCAGTGTTGCTTGTGCACTGCAGGATATTCAGCAGCGTAGCTGATCTCTGTCCATCAGATGTCCCCCTCCCAGTGTGACCACCTGAAAGGACACCATCAAATGTCCCCTGGAGGGTAAACTGCTCTCCTTGAGAGCCACTGACTTAAGGAATCATAACCACATTTTTGCGGTCCCCCTCCCACAGTACAAATCCCAAGCTGAGGAGTGTCTGTCCCCAGAGACCTTCCACGAGATTCAGGACTATTCTGAGGAAGCAGGAAGAAGTGGGAGCAGGGAATAGTAGGTAAGGAAGCTCTAAGGGTTAACGTTCATTCTCTGGATAAAAAAGAACCTAGCTGTTTCATTCTCCCACAAATTTCATTCACATCTGCCAAACAGGAAGTTCTGTCTTAGTACTTATTTACTTATTTGTAAAATAATCATGTAGGTGCCCTTAGACATCAAGAGATGAAAGCCAAATCCTGAAGGAATGAGCCTCCTCAGTAATCTGAGATTGCTTATGACTTCTTAAGGCTCGTGAATCCTCAGAAACCAATGATAAACGATATCTGAGCCTCCGTTCCCTCACCAGTAGAAGAGGATAATAATAGCATTTCATTTACTGGGCTACAATGTACATTAAATGAATTAAGCAAAAAATGTCCAGTAAATGCTATCTACGCTCGTTTAAAAAAAACAAGTCAAAATTAGTGCCAAGTACTTACAGCAAAAGAGGCAATCTTGACAGTACTCATAGGGAGACACGCAATAAGGATAAGGCTAACGCTGATCTAATACACTTTTTTTTTTTTTTTTTTTTTGAGGAGTGTGGCCTGAGCAGGCAGGAGAGTCAGTAGGACATGAGGTAACATTAGGAAGGTTTCTAGAGCGCCTTCCATCCAATGTGTAATTTTCTAATTTTAGAAAGCCATCAGCTCTACCCCAAAGAATTTCTTGTGAGGCATGGGGGGAAGGGGGTAAATGATTCATCATTTTAATAAATTCAAGTGTTCAATCAATAGCTGGTTATCTGACAAAACTCCACTGTTGGGTTTTTCAAAAGAGGCTGGTTGATCAACGTGGCCTCCTTATCCACCCAAATATCACTTCTAAATAAAAATATCTTGACCTACTGCTACCCCCAGAGTCAAGAGAGGCTGCAAATAATCTTGAACACTACTGAGTTCAGAGAGATTTAAAATGGTCGTACTAAAGGTTTTTAATTTATCTATACCAAGAGAATTATGGGGGGAAGAAAGAAAGGCTTTTGTACCATTTTCTAACTATCAAAACATTGTTTTATGTATCAGGCTCCTGGTATATACAGGGACTATTGTATAAAGTGTCATCAATGTGTCTAAAGCTGGCAGACCAGAGAGATTACTCTGGATACAAATGCCTCAGATATTCAAGCGCAATTATCCTGGATGCTGGCCCCTATACTGTGGTAGGACCAATAGCAATATTTGTCACTTACATGCGTGTGTATGTGGAGAAAATAGGCAAGTTCACATTTAGACACATACTTGAAAACTGAATAGGCGTCCGAGCTAAGAAACTATCTTTAAAGGTTGTTTTGAAATTCAAAAGTAGGTAACTTACCCCATGGGGGTCTCTTGGAATCTTCCTTCTGTTTACATTTAATGGTGTCTGATAGACACTCGTGAAAGTATTGATCTTGGGGTTGTGACTACAAAAAAATAGTAAAGAAAATAAATAAATAAAATTCAATATATGTAACTTAAAGACTAAATGTAACTGGAAATGGTCACTTGAAAACTTTCTGAACAAATACAAAAGGATTCTGAAATTACTTAAAAGAAAAACTGCTTAAGTTCTATATGCATATACTGTATCATGGCAATTATATTGTTTTGAACAATATTTAATAGGTTGGCATGGGGTTATAGCGGGTAGACTTTATCTTTTACTTGTAAGAAATAGGAAACTTTCATCTTTTTATTTACTGCATAAAGCCCTGCCTTAAGTTTCATCAGTGATTGTGAGTAAAAGCCTTTGAGAAGACATTTCTTGGATTTACCCCTGGGGTGCATGATTTTCGAACCTTTGATTGGCTACTCGTTGAAAACTAAAAATAAACAAAACTTAGGTGTCAGGGAGGGCCACCAAACACTTACGCATGACAGTATGGCTTTTTCTGGTGACTCACAAAGTTATTCACCGACAGCATCATCTTGCAAACTTCACAGTGAAAACACGCTTTATGCCATATCTAGAAATCACATAGAAAAGATTTACCAAAATAGCCCCCCCCCCATATTCTTATATATTTCAGGCTTAGGAGAAAAAGTGTTAGGCATAAAACGGTAATTTAAAAACACGAAGCTACCGTATGGTATATAAATGAGTGACATTTTCTGAGACAATATAGAAGACGTAACTAGAACTGGGCAGAGCTGCAAAAGGGTGAGAAATACATCTTTTTTGGGGTGGTTCGAAAGAATCCATATGTCCCTACGTGAGAAGATAAAGTTCCCACGTGTGTGATTCTCCCCAAAGGCCAACCAACATCTACTGACCTGATCTAAGCAGCTGATCTTCTCAGCGGGGTACACTCCATAGCCACATCTAGAGCAAGCCTGCACGTTCATCCTGACTTCCCAGAGGCAGGCAACCGGCAAGGAATCCAAGGAGATGCCTCGGTCTAATCAGTCGTTCAAGTCTCGCAAATCCCGACCACTGTTCCACTCTGGGGCACCGTGATTGTTCAGAACCCAACTTCCACTTCCCTTTGCTGACCTTCTCGGTCGAAGTCAGCAGCTGGATGGCTTTTAAAGCGGCCACTTGCTCCAGGGGCTATTTTGGCCACACTCTCAACACGCATGCGTCCGGGCAACGAGGTAGAGGTATTTCGAGCTGACATGCTTCTCTAAATAGAAAACTGAACTCACAACAGCATCATGTTTGGGTGGATGACCAAATCCTGGGGCATGAGTAGGCAGCATGGAGTCGTTTTTCGCACTAGCTGTGATCATAGCCCAAGAAAAGAACCCCAGACGAAACGACACTCCCTCCCCCAGCGATCAAATTGGAAAGGCTTGCTCCGTGAACAAGGTGACTAGAGCTGAAAGGCCAGCTCCCCAAAATATAGGGAATAAAAAGCAGGGCTGATTCATGCCACCATAGGGGTGAAAGCCATATGTGGATCTCAGGATTGTGTATTATAAATATTGGCAACTGGAAACTGGTGAAGCTATGAATCTGAGTTTAGCTTCTGCTAGAATGCAAAAATAAGAACAAAGGAGAACCCTACATGCTTTGGCCTCGGGTTTGTTATTGATCCAAAAAGGCCTGTTTATTTCCTCACCCCCAGGCCTAGAGGCGGGCAGCTTGACGGAAAACTTCCTCTTCCTGGCTTTGTGAAGCCCCTCATTGCCCCTAAACATTATGCTAAAATGGACCTTCTAGAAACAGTTTCAAAAAGATGGCACCTTGCCCGGTTTGGAGTGGCTCAGCGGATCCATGAAACAGTTCATGGTTTGATTTCTGGTCAGGGCACATGCCTGTGTTGTGGGTTCAATTCCCAGGACACAGCCAAGCAATGATTCTCTCTTACCAGTGATGTTTCTATCTATCTCTCTCCCTCTCCCTCTCCCTTCCTCTCTGAAAATCAATAAAAATATATATATTTAAAAAAAAGAAAAAAGATGGCGCCCAACCTTATCTAACCTTACCCTGTTTTAAATTCTTCATAGCGGTTATCAACACCTGACATCTTAAATACTGTGCCTCTACTTTTTAAAATTATCTGTCTCCTTTCATCAAAACAGCATTCTTGGTCCTTGTTGTCATTTCCTATCCTGTGCCTAGAACAAGGACTGACGTGGAAAAGTACCTACTCATGGACTCGAGGAGATAAACATGACACTCTCACCAAAATGCCTCTAGGGGCCAGAGGTGGAGTCATCGGTGATGGTAGGAACCTTTCCAAATGGGAGGGCACACACCCCAGCTGACTGTCATGAGCACCCAATATTGCGAATATGCTGATCTTTCCCAAGAAGCCAGATACCTGCATTTACGCATGAAATCCCCCGTTTTGTCAAACACTGGGAACAAACCAGTAAAACGGGGCCGTGGGCAGTATTTGGTCGGCAGTCTACCAATTAGTGACCTTCAGCCAAAACGGTCAGAGATGATGCTGATGGGAGGATCTGCAGGCGGACAAAAGCCAATAGCACTTGTGTGTTGCGTTGGGAGAGCCAGCAGGGAGGAGAAGGCTGCAAAACTAGTGAAGAGGGTAGGATCATGTGCGCTAAGGAGAGGGTGAAGCTGGGGCCCCCCATCTTAGATAGTGGGGCTCCACACTCTATATCAGCTCTTGAAGGGGACTCTCAGTGGGGGCTCCGGGCTCAGGAAGACTCCCACACTGAAATGGGATTCATACAGGGCAGCCAGGGCGCACAGGAACAGCAAGGACAAAGACCAGAAGACCCCAAGGCTCCCCGGGCTGGAAGCCCCAAGGACTGCCACGAAAGAACTCTGGCCCAATCCGGGGGTGCGGTAGGATGAAGAACCACTGTCAGTTCATCTCGAGAAAAAGTTACCTCCTCTCTGCCTGTGGTTGTGGTTGGTGGTGCTCCACAGCGGCTACATGTGACCTTTGTGAAAAGGTCATGGTCCCTTGTGGAAACCAAGTGAAAGGTGTTAGATGTGACTTATGTCACCCCTTATGTTTGTAAAAGGCGCTTATTAGATATCAGACTTTGTAGGAGAAGCAACCCCAACCAAGTGGAAATGGGACAGTTTAAACACTCATTGCTGGGGTAAGGTACACACAGCCCTCACCTTCTCGGCAGACACGGCTCAACGTCGGTCCCCGGGGTCCATCCTGGCTGTCAGGATTGGTTCTGATGTTTGTGTTAGCCTGGGTTCCCCAGAAAACAGAACCTGAGGGCAGGGCTTCTGTGTAAGGACTTGATTCAGAAGTGCACCGGGAGCAGGAAATGGAGGGGAAGAGGCAATATGAGGTTTGTTCTTAAAGCAGCCACCACGTGCTATGAAGTGCATTGGGTCGCTTGATCTCCATCTTCCAAGGGGCCATCTAAACAACTACGACTCAAGAACATCTGCTAGGGCAGTGGTGGGCAAACTGTGGCTCTCGAGCCACATGCGGCTCTTTGACCCCTTGAGTTTTTAGCAAAGGCCAGCCTAGGAGTACCCTAATTCAGTTAATAACAATGCACCTACCTATATAGTTTAAGTTTAAAAAAATTGGCTCTCTAAAGAAATGTCCATCATTGTACTGTTGATAGTTGGCTCTGTTGACTGATGAGTTTGCCCACCACTGGGGAAAAGGAAGGATTTATCCGTTGGCCTCTGTCTCCATTGGTGGAAGCTCTGCCCCATTGGGAGCTGACCTCCCCTCCCCCCACGTCCATGCCCTGTCCGTGTTCACAGAGGCCCAAAGGATTTTCACTTCAGTTAATACATTATAATTATTCCTCTACACTTGCCTGGGACCAGTCCTTCTTAAACCAAGAAAGCGTCCTTACCTGGTGGGATCTTAGCGGCAAGATCCAAGTCTGGGATCCAGAGGGAAGCAAGCAAACAAAAAGGCAAGGTGAGGTCACACCAGGAAAGGTGTCACACCACAAAAGGTTTCCCTTCTTTCGCTCCAGGTGTTGATACCCTGTTTCCCCGAAAATAAGACAGTGTCTTATATTAATTTTTTTCTCCCAAAGTTGCGCTAGGTCTTATTTTCAGGGGATGTCTTATCTTTCCATGCGCTCGGTCTTATTGTCGGAGGATGTCTTATTTTCGGGGAAACACGGTAGCTCTTAAAAAGCAAATATCTCTCCTATGAATAAAAACTGTTTTTTTCTCAAATATTTACACCTCGGGGTGATGGAGTTCATCAGCCGCTCCCCTGAGGAGCCTTGGAGATAGAGGTATTTGAAGCCTCCAAGGGTGAAAAAGCCAGGTGTGTGAGTGTGTGTGTGTGTGTGTGTGTGTGTGTGTGTGTGTGTGTCTGTGTGTGTGATGGGGTTGTGGGGTAAGGAGAGGAAAGCTGTGGAAGTGCACTATTTCCGTTTTAGACTCACGCTGCGCTGCTACAAACCCTAAAACCCCTACAAACCGGATGTGTGCCATGCCACAGGACAGCCCACTGTGATTTGTGATGCAAAGTTGCTGAGAAAAGACTGAGTCAGCAGCGACCTACCACTCACTTGCCAAGACCCGCGCCCCTGCGACTGGAAGCAAGTTCTCTCTCTGCTCTGAGGCCGACCCCGCAGCGCGTCCCACGGTGAGGCCTGCAAGCAGATGCGGGCGCCAGCTCTGGGGGTTAGGGGGGCGCGGACCGCACAGACTAGGGATCAAAGATCAGAGGACTTTTAGGGCTGAGTCCTGAGGCCCAAGTGGAGCGGTAGCCTGGAGGCAGCAGCGGCTGGAGGGGGGCAGGTGGATGGGTGGGGATTGGGGGGTCGCCAGGACTCTGAGAGCGCCCAAGGCTGCAGGGCGCGCTCTCCCGTTGCGGGGTTGGGACGGGTTTGCGGGGCGCGCTCTCCCGTTTGCGGGGTTGGGACAGGTTTGCTTTGCGCGCGGCCATTTCTGCAGAATGTGCCCCCCTCCGGGGGCTGCGGGCGCGGCGGCGGGACCGCGGGGATCTCGCAGACTCCCCCGCGCTGTCCGGTGCGGGGCCGGGAGCGGGGCGGGGACGGTGCGCGGCCACGTCACCGGGCGGCCCGGGCGCCATTCATTGGGCGCCGCCGGCCGGGACCGGCGGGACCGGCGATGGGGCGCATTCCGCTGCGGGGCGCGCTTTTCGGGCGGCCGCTGGCGTGGTGCCCGGCCTACCCGGAGCGGTGCCCGCGGCTCCGCCTGGCCCCGCGTGTCCCGCGACTCCTCCCACCCCGCCCATGAGCTCTTTTCCTTCCGTTTCCGTGCCCGCGGCCAGACACTTGCTGCAGCGCGACAGCCACGCCGCCAGCTCCGGCTCCGGGAGGAAGAACGGTAACTTCGGTCCCGCCCGCGCTTCCCACTTTCCCGCCTTCCCGCCCGGCCGCCCGGCCGCGGCGCCGCCTCCCCCTCCGCCGCCTCCCCTCCCGGTCCGTCCCGCGCTCCGAGGCCGCCGGGTCCGCGGTCCGCGAGAAGCCGGGTCCCCGGGGCGCTGGGCGGCCCGACCGATCGATCTGCAACTTTGGGGAGAGGGCTCTCCGCGGCCCCAGCCTCGCTCGCTTTGGTTTGTTTGCTTGATGTCCTTTCCCTCCGCAGCCAGCGGGCTGGCTGGCGTCCCCGGGACTCAGTTTGGGGAAAGGAGCGGTGGATTTAGAATAAGGTGACCAGACGTCCCGCTTTTGGCGAGACAAATTGTTCAAAATCGGGACGTCTGGTCACCTTAATTTAAAAGGGAAGGAGCGGTTCTCATAGGGCTGACAGAGCAAGGGCTCTGGTGTCACAGGCCAGGCCGGAGGTGGAGGTTCGAGTCCCCCACTGCCCTGCTTGCCAGCCGGTGGGGGGGGGGGGGGGGGGGGACCTGGGCCTCTCTGTTACATGGGAATGAGGAGGAGCCCAGGCTAAAGGCTGCAGCGAGGATGGGAGGAGCTGATGGGAGGTGCATAGCAGTGCCTCGTCATCCAGGCTTAGATGA